GGCAGTAGTAGTAGGAGTAGTATTGATGTGGTACTAGTAGTCGTAGTAGTAGTAGTAGTAGTAGTAGTAGTAGTAGTAGTAGAGTGGTGCACGTGCACTCTGGTTAACCATACTGTTGTCCTCTTAAAGACGGATAATCGTTGTAGAGTCTGTGATGTTGCTAGGCGACTCCGGTAAGCGACCCTTCATGTACAATTTTACTTTCCTAATCGTCCGGAAAAAAATCCAAAATGTCCTGAGTGCAACAACAGTATGGTATTAGTAATTTGTTGGCTTAAAAATGGCAGTCACGTTGAAGAAACCGTACCGGGGATGCAGTGTATGGGTACCCGGTAGATTTAAATTTCTAATAAAAACTCCCTAGGGTATATCATACCTGATGCGTGACCGTGATAGCAGCTTGATTCCTGAGAATTTCAAGGGCTTTGTCTCTGCCCCACACTGTAACACATGCTACATGTGGTGTCACCACAGGCAAGTGAATGTGTTCGATATATGCCTCTGTTCGCCCAGCAGTGATAGGGTACTCGGTAGTATGATATGGAAATCTGACTGTCAAACATCTAGCGCCTCATAGGATGCTTGGGTTGTATACTTCACAGGGAGTTGAAATAAGAACTAATCAGTAAAAGTATCATTCGTGACGTAGTGCTTGCTACACCATTCATTGATAACGTTTTACTGTAACCACTTTTATTACTTTGAAGTATATAATTTCCTGGATTGGATATCTACTTGATTGTCAAAACAACCATTTAAACCACCACCGTTGTTCAATTTTTGAAAATGTTGTTGTGATAAAAAATATGTTTGACAAATTTGTTTTAATATAACTTTGTATTCATGACTCAGTTGTATATAGATCAACTTGTTCTCGTCGCTGTATGGCTGAAATAATGCCGATGCGACGTTAATTTTGACTCACTCACTCACTCCATTTTGGAAACATCCACACATACACTGTCTTGATGTGTACACGTAGTAGTACTATCACCACCAGCAAAGATGAAACAGTTGCATTTTGTAACAAATACTTAAATACAGCGAGTACTGGTAACGAACCCCGAACAACCAATGTTTACGCTATGTAGTAATGCTTAAATGCTGTACACCTAGAAGGACCTTTCACGTCAGTTGGGCTCTTGAATTCGGCCCCTCTGTTAGCTTAGATCCCACCTGCTAAGGCTGTGTGCTGTGTGTACAACTTCGTGTTGTACAATACAGTACGGCGAGCCAAGCAGTTAGCAGCATGAGTGATATCTGGGTTGTGAAAGGGTAAGACATTTTTTACATAGTAGAGAAAGTTTATTTACAAGACTTTTAATTTGTTAATTTACCATTTGAAGCTAGTTCCTTGTTAATTTTCCGATAACATGAATTTGTTGTTCATGCAGTTTTATTATTTTGTACATACTGTTCAAGAATGGATAGAAGTCGAGAGAATAGCATAATTTAGCGATCTTCAATATGATAAAATTGTCCGTGTTGAATGAATGAATGAATGAATGGATGAATAATCTTTATTTCCTCCAATGGGTACGGAGAGTACAAATACATATGCATGTATAGATATAAGTATTTAGACATATCAACACACAGAAGATTGACTGAAACTTCGAAGCATATGATACTTAAATCAATTTGTTGTGTTCAAAGGGGTTTATATACACACTGTAGCGTGTATATTCTACAGGTAACGCATTGACTGTAGGTTCCAGGAACTGATTTCTCTAGAGACGATGTTAATGAAAGAAGTCTATGTAGTAAGGTTCATGCATTCTTACCAGTCACACTAAAGCCATTACGATAACCCGCAGGTAGATATGGACTTTGTAGTTTCGAATTCCACCTTTCAGGGTAGGCAAAAACATAAAGCTCGTTATCTTGGTGATTGTTTTTAGGATTAAAGAGTAATTCCACTTGACTCATTCGTGTTTAAAAAGTAAAGAATGATCCTGTCGCTGTATGTAGCTTCTTCGTCTTTAACGATACATTGTTTACTAAGACAAAATTGTTATGGATGAGCAACTTCTTTATTACAAGTGACTGACATTATGAGCCCGGATTCACGACATAAGGATATAATGACATGTTATCAGCCAAGTCACCGAGTCTGACCACCCGATTCATTTAATCGCCTCTTTCTTGGGGCATATATTACTCGGGGCTAGCGATATACTGAGTTAATAAAGTTCAAATAACCGAAGTTCCCTGTAGAGTGTGATAAACCCAGTCGTCTAAGGCGCCGCGATTCGCTGTGCAGAGTTGCGTCCCTTGGGCACGCCAGAAACATATGATTGTGGGTTCGAATCCCGGTTCGTCCCGATTATGTTTCTAGGTTTGTCAGCACCATACCCGTGCTCGTGGGTTTCACCGAAGTGGTAAACGTCTGAGACCTGCATCACTTCGGGCTTTCCTCCCACATTAAGCTGACACGCCCTGATATAACTGGAATACTGTTAAAAGTGACGTTAAACCCAACTCACTCGCTCACTTAAATTAAACTTCTTGACCAAATTTCCTTGTTTTGATTTTGCCAATCAGAGAAGAAATTCCTATTCGTGTGCGTAAGGAATCAGATGAGAAAAAAGGGGAGCACAATTGGCGGCCATAGGTACGCCTAAGTCTTGCCTAAATATCCTATCCTCATAATTCTCACAGTTGTTCTCCCTGAGGACGTCAAGCATTTTATAAATTGTTTCCTCGATAAACTTCAGTAGGCATTTGCCTACATTTTTGACAAATTATTCCGGACCTTTAGATACCACGTTTAGATACAAATGCCCCATGGATCAAGGCATTAAGGAATTGAGTTTATTGTGTGTGAAAAACATAATTGCATTACTTTGATATAAACACTTACTTGTAATATTCAGGATCGTACTGACCCAAGAGGACCTCTTTTAATACTTATTAGAAATCAAGCGAAATGGGTTTTATATGAGAGGCGGGTGTTACCGCTAGGACAGGACCTGCATGTCCTTTTCGCGAACACCCGGTGTCATTACTGATTTTCAGAGATACATTCATTTTGACTGCTGTTTGTCTTTTACTCCCGATGAAATCTGTTTCGGTGGATAATAGGGACTGGTTATTCTCTGCCGTCGTCGTTTTATAGGGTATTTATCTTTGAGATAAAACGCAAGACCATTCAACCATTCTTATTCATGTACGTTTTACGTCCCACCTCGCCCCGAGTCGCCCAAGTCGCCCACACACCGCACGACGCTTGTCATCTCCGTCACAGTAATGGAACGATGGTTATCTGATATTCACATGAAAGAGATCATGGTACTTTAAAAAAACATATTTTAGTGTCCACGAGTTAAAAACAGTGCCGTGAATGTATAAGGTTTGAACCTACACTCATACTTCTAAAGGCTTTCCGTGCTTGTGAGTCTTGTATGGTATGCATACGATTGTATTGTGAAATATATGATGACCAACAAAATGCCATGATTGCAATCAACGTCATCGGAACCGTACTTACCCCTCTCGCTCGACGTGTCACTGTTTGGAGACTTGGGTACAGTGCTAAACTATGGTATCACCTGTACGTTGTTATCAGTACAATGTCAATAATACCGTAGTCTTATATTTAAGCCCATGTGCAATTATTTTCTTATTTTCGTGGGTTTTTTTTCATAATTCCAGAACTTTTTGAAAATTGTCATTTGTTATATTTAGTGGATAACACTGAATGATTATCCAGGTGTCGGAATAATATTACCGAAGGACGTTTGCTTTACGTTGTAACCTGTCGGTATCCAAAGTTTGGTAGGGTCAGAGCCTAACATTTCACCCCAAACTGCCGCACCCTTATATGGCTGAATTGCTGTTCAACGTATTGTTAAACTCATTATCAATGTAGTATAGCACGATTGAAAAATATCGAGAGTATTAAATCAGATATTATCATATTATACGATTTTAATTGAAAAACAATATTCAAAGTTAAGATCCAAATATTCCATTCCATTCCATTATGTTATAAACATTAGTAACTCACACGCAATGCTTAATCTGTTCAATTCCAAAGATATTAAAGTCATAGGATATGTTGCTGTTAGTGTGCCGTAAGTATTAACATACCCTATGGCATTAATGGGGTTTAACGTCGCGTCCACGATAATTGCACTTATATAGCAACGTGCGTGCCTGCGTGCGTGCGTGCGTGCGCGCGCGCGCGCGTGTGTGTGTGTGTGTGTGTGTGGCTGCTTATACTAGTCTGGACTGATGCCGACTTATAGTGCTAACCCACTGAGATACCATGCCGCAGTGTAACATGACTACCCCACACAGTATACATACTAATAGATCGCATACGCTAAATTGTACTCTTGGCCATAAGGCCATGCAACCGGATAAACTGTGGTCTTGATAAAATCTTGCAGCTGAAGTTAACAAGTGTGGAATGTACGCGTCCTTGCATTTTGCGATAAGATCACAGCTGACAAAAAAGGAAAGATTTCATATGGCTTTTATTAATGATGTCTATTATTCCTCCAATAATATCCCCAAACATTACACCGACGTGATAACATACCTCCGAAGTCTAGTGTGCGGAGAGCACAAGGTCGGTAGTTCGACGTTGAAAGATGGTTATTGAAGTAAGTCTTGTTTTAGCAATATTCCAGTAATATCATGGCGGGGGACACCAGAAATGGGCTTCACACATTGTACCCATGTCGGGAATCGAACCCGGGTCTTCTGCGACCGCCCCGTATTCATGTTAAACTGCGGCATGGTATCTCAGTGGGCTAGCACTATAAATCGGCATCTGTCCGGACTAATACAAACTGCCACACACACACACGTGCATGCACGCCGCTATATAAGTGCAATAATCTTGGACGCGACGTTAAACCCCATTTCACCTCACCTCACCTGATATTGGACTGGTAGGGGTGAATGTATCTAAATGCTGATATGTTAGTAGGCATGGTATCTAAGTATAACGATATCCGAAAACTTAAAGTGTTCATTATTATGTGTTTTAGACTGATGGAACGTCCAAATCTGGACGCCAGGAAAGGCAAGAGACCCCCGTGGGCGGCAGACGGCAAGCCTCATCACGAAGAATATCTCAAACGTCTCACGAGACTTCGGGATCAGCTGGTCGACCAGGAGCAGACTAACCTCGCACAAGCCCTTGATCGACTTCGCATTCGTCAAATCAGCAAAGAAGACGCCAATTTCCGTCTCAGATTGAAGGATTCAGGAACAAATCTGTATTCCCCACGTAGGCGTGCCATGATCACAACTCTGGAGAAATTTAAGAAAATGAGACCCCAGAAAAACCCACCGACCTTGTGTCCGTTAGAAGGCAAGCAGTTGATTGAGCCGAAAAACTCCGACACTCCACGAATGTTCCTTCCGGAAGGTTCCGATGACATATCGGTGCCCGTCAGTTCACGAGTTGAGCAGACTGTTCAGCTGAACCTTCAGAGACTCGCCCAACCCATATCGAGCATTCCTAATATTGGAAGGAAAGCTTTGAAACGTGAAGACTTGGTTTTGCACAGTCATGGCATGGAGAAGAGGACGCCTAAGAACCCGATGTTGAAGCATACCCATGCTCTTTCACAAGGCACGGCACTGACGCCATTGAACAGAGCCAGACATATTAACGCATTTCCTGATTCTTTCAAACTTGAACCTCTCACTGAAGGCGATCAGATAGACATGGACAAACTCAGGAAGTACTATTACGTGTATTATCTCCCTTCGACTTCCGCTTCCCAAGATGGCGACCGATCGGTTCCCAAGACTCCGAAAAACACCGTGCGACAACGTCGAGTTCACAGCTATAGAGATTGTGAAAAATCAGTAGTGTCATCGATCGTGTCTGTGATTGACGATGAAGGGTATTCAACCAATGGGAAGACCTCTTTACCTTATATAGAATCAACCGGAAGTGGAACTCTTCACTGGCATGATCATCCAAGATTTCCGGAGGACGTTGACATTAACAGTGTCGGCACTGCGCATGACCCCGATTACATTACTGGAAGGACTTCACGCGTTCACATTGTTGTCGACATGCCGGATATAATCTACAGCGCCCCTACCCCTGACGTCATCGAGGGAATGGAAATGAAAAAGGGGGGATCACTCTCAAAGACTTACAAACAGAATGAAATTCGACAAAGAGAGTTACATAACTTGATTGAAGATGTCAAAGAGCTTAATATGAGAACCGAGACATTGACAAGTGAATTGTTTCATTAACAATACTTATGTATTATATACATGTGACCATATTATGTCCTCATATATCATTTTGTGTTATGATTATGTAAAAGTAAAAGTGCAGTTCATATCAGAACTTAATAATTGTTCGAGTAATGGGATATGGTAAAATCGTTTTGAGTAAGAATATATATAGTTGAATTTTGATCAAAATAATCGAAACCTCTACCAGAATAATATGTGTAGGCATATAGTGAAAGCCCGGATAACTAAATGTCTGGATCAACGAAAATAGGTACAAACTAAAGCAAAGTTGTCGTAAGAGGTGACTAACGGGCTGTGGTCAGGCTCACTGACTTGACATATCCCAATTATGTTAATCGATGGTCGATGTCAATCATTGGATTGTCTAGTTCATACACGCTTATTTACACACAAACCAAACTAAAACTCATTCCAAGTTCAATATAAAAAGCTTGGGAAGTGGGGTTTAGGGAGTAAAGGGTTGCACTTTACTCAAGGGAGCACAGTATTATGTACAGTTGATATTGTCTTATCACTGGTATGTTTCATGATTTAAAAAGTGAATAAAAATAACAGTTCTAATAGTTGAGATATTTCAATTCGCTGAACAGACTTGCCTACCTTAGGCGTACCAGAAACCTATGATTGTGGATTCGAATCCCATTATTTTGTTTGAAGTTTGTCATCACCACACCCGCGCTCATGGGTTAATCCAATTGGTAAACACCTAAAACTCGCATCACAACGGACTTTCCTAATATTAAATTGATGTCGTGATATAACTAAAATACTGTTCAAAGCGGCGTCAAACAACACTCACTTTATTAGTCAAATATTTTATACTGGATAACGTTTAAAAATGAAATTGCAATTTTAAAAAAAAACTCAAGTTAAAACTAAATCATTGCAAAGCACATCGTCCAACACAACAATGCTCTATGCAGAAAGTAACAGCACTTTCTTTTAGAATGATACGGACGACATGTCAGACACTCACACTGATAAAAAGAAAAACCCACCACAGAAATGCCACGACTGACACCCGAAACAACGGAAGATTGCCCTGGGTATGACACAGATGGGAGCCACCCCTGCCCACATTGCTAGAACTTTTGATTGCTCCCGTGTTGCTGTAACTAACCTGATGCAACGTTTCAGACAGATCGGACAGACATAAGACCAAGAACACGCAGCCCCAGGGTAACTTCGCCCAATGAAGACTGGTACTTGAGAACTTTGCATCTACGGATTCGATTAAGGACACTGACGTCACCAGCGACGAATGCCTTTAGGGCATATGGTTAGTCGACAGATACTTGCAAGGCGGCTGAGGGCTCAAAGAATTAGTGCTCACAAACATAACAGAGGACAGTTATTGGCAGCCCAAGATCGTCGTCAGAGATTGAGATGGGCCCGGACTGTACGTCGTTGGCAGCGACATTACTGGCAGAGGGTCGTCTTCACTAATGAAAGCCGGTTCTGTCTGTTCACAGCTGATGGAAGACAGCGCGTTTACCGCCGAAGGGGAGAACGAACGGTGGTATGGTGCGTTCAGGAGGTCGTGCCGTATGGTGGAGGGGGCGTTATGGTGTGGGAGGAATTTGTGGGCAGGAGAGAACACCAGTGGTCATCGTAAACGGAAATTTGACAACTCACATTCTCCGTCCGATTGTCCTACCATTTCTACAACAGCTGCCACGTGGTGTCCTTTATCAGCATGGCATAGACCCCTTACAGCCCAAATCGCGCAGAACTTCCTTGCAGTTGTCGTAAAGGCGATTGGAGCGCCAAGGGACCCTAGAACAGTTACCTTAGCGTATTGCCTTTCTGTGTCTTCGTGGTCATAGTAAGCAATGACTCTACAACTTGCCGGAGTCCGGCGAGGGTCGCTAAGTCAAAGAGTGAAGGGTCCGACCACAGTTGCTCCTAATTACCTAAAAACATAAGCATTCGTGTACCGGCGCCCGCACATGGAAGTATTAACACAACACAAGACTTGAAACATTACAAAGCTTCAGTCCATTTCTCAATACACAACTACTTAGACAGGAAAGGCTAGGACAGGCTCATCAAGATGTGTATAGCGGATCGAGATTCCACTCGATCGACTGACTGTAAAACCCGCACCCCTTGCTAGTGTTGAAGGTATCTTTTTAAGATGTTCGAGTCTGACCCGCCTTTGTCACGTGTCCTTATACATCATTCGTCAAGACAACACACCAGGCCATGAAGACGGGATTGTATCGTGATGACAAATTACCGCGACTTGCAGGCGATTCACCGTATACTGATTCCCTTAATGATCTCATGAATTATATATCTCATAAGTCCTCCTTGCTGATTTATTGAATGTCAATGTCAGCATTGAAGTAATCACGAAACTCACGAAACATAAGCGGATCCAGAGGTGGGGCGCCTGTCTTAGCACACACACCCTTTTTTCTAAAACCAAATGTAGTATGTTGTGGACAACCCCCCACCCCAACCCCAATGAGAGAGGATTTTGCTAGTGGGGACCCCTCCCTTTTGAAAATGCTGCATCCGCCCTTGCGAAAGTAATGGCTATTGTAACTGTTGAATTTGTTATAAATGTCTAACGTTTTGGGGTGCATTTTAACAACCTGTTGCCGTGGCCTGCACATTCCCCAGACATGTTCCCCATAGACATGTCCCCCATGGCACGTGATGGATCGTCGTGTTGTTCGACAGTGACGACATCCTCCAGCAACCCACCAAGAACTGAGCCAGGCCCTCCAAGGAGAATGACGACGTATCCCACGTGACGTCATCAGACGAATGACATTTTTGTGCGCCAGAGAGTTTTTTTAGCGTGTCTTGTAGCAGAGGGTTGTCATACACGCTGTTAATGTTACATGTCATTGAACTTGAGTGAGTTTAGATGTGTGGGCCCTTTGTCCATTACGTTCAAAACTTGTTTTTGCTGCCCCACCTCAATTCGGGCAACTGTCATGCCAATAACGGATGCTGTATGACTGTGAATTTAAATGTTGATTTCGTTGATATTTTGATCTTTTCAATACATCTTACTTCATGCATATATCATTTGTATTTTTTTAACTGGAGTGATTTAAAACTGTGGTAAAGTTTCTTATGGCCGTGAGTTTACATATTTCATGATTCACATCAGGGTAGCCCAGTGGTTAAAACGTTCTCTGTGCGCGCCGAAAGCCCCAGCTCGATTCCCTACATGGATGCAATATGTTAAGCCAATTTTATGTCCCCAGCCATGTTATTGCTGGAATGTTGCTGAAACGCAACCTCACTTACTCGAGTATTGAATGTAGCTTTATGGAATCCTCACTGTGAACACTGTGATGACTGTCTTGATGTCATGCCAGCAGTTTAACCCCATTGGTAGAATGATTAACGTTCCGGGCTGTGAACACTGTGATGACTGTCTTGATGTCATTCCAGCAGTTTAACCCCATTGGTAGAATGATTAACGTTCCGGGCTGTGAACACTGTGATGACTGTCTTGATGTCATTCCAGCAGTTTAACCCCATTGGTAGAATGATTAACGTTCCGGGCTGTGAACAATGTGATGACTGTCTTGATGTCATTTCAGCAGTTTAACCCCATTGGTAGAATGATTAACGTTCCGGGCTGTGAACACTGTGATGACTGTCTTGATGTCATTCCAGCAGTTTAACCCCATTGGTAGAATGATTAACGTTCCGGGCTGTGAACACTGGTGCACACAATCAGCCAGTACACGGTAACGACGCGGCGCCTTAGACGACTGGACCACCCGTGCCCCCTAAACGTGACGAACGAACGCTTAAACATTGAGCTACCCATCGCCCTTTAACAAGGACCCCCTGTTTCAGGGAATGGCCATTGCTCTCAAAAACAATATATCTATATCATGAACAAAAACACAAAACAAGTCTTACATGTTAATATGTTTATATCTAAATTCAAAGACAGATATATACATACGATGTAAATTATTAGAAAAATAAAAAAGGATTTTGATAAGAGTTTTCTGTATGAGTTCAATGGGAAAAACGAAAACAACCATATGTGTCAAACATTATCGAAATTACAAGCTTTGACAATTACCTTTTTGTTCTACATACAATGAGTATTGAGGGAGGCAAGGATATCGGACGTGCTTCACAGGCCGACACGGGCCTCAGCGAAACCAACAACATTCCTCCTTAATATCATAAAAACGACAAAAGAAATTTTTTTTTATAAATTAGCATAGGTTCGGAGAAGGCACATATCCTATAACGTTTACAAATTGTCGCCTAATGGTTATTGCACTGACAAGGTTCGGAGTACGAGAATATCTGGTATTGGGAGGGCTTTGCGACGAGTTAGCGTTGTGGAAGGGAGGTAACTCCGTTTGATGCAGTGGGCGCTAGCACATGTTTGCTGCGGTAAAATCATAGACCGAGGCGGTCTCTTTACCGGTGGGAATATTATGTGTGAAGATCCTTTTCAGATTTTTTTCAATCGTCTAACGTCTAATTGGTGTTCGTCTTGGTGGAGAATTGTCTTGTCTAGTTGTTCCGGTTAGGCCTACAAAAGCTGGGCGCCTTCCTGTAAGGATAAACCGATGACAATATAAAATGTACAAATGGGACCTCAATTCGATTACATTAGTGAGTGAGTTGGGTTTTAACGCCGCTTTTAACAGTATTCCAGTTATATCTCGGCGTGTAGGCTTAATGTGGGACGAAGCCGGAAGTGATGCACGTTTCAGACGTTTACCACTTCGATGAAACCCACGAGCACGGGTATGGTGCTGACAAACCAAGAAACATAATCGGGGTGAACCGGGATTCGAACCCACAATCATAGGTTTCTGGCGTGCCCTAGGGACGCAACTCTGCACAGCGAATTGCGGCGCCTCAGACGACTGGGCCAATCGTGCCCCCTGATTACTTTGAGTAAAGTTAGAATAATATATAGTATATTCTGTTAGTGCAACATGTGTTATCGTATTTGTTATCGTAAAATGGAGTATTGGTTATTGCATATTTCCATTCGGTCGAAGTTTGAATAGATAACATTAGATAGTTGCAAACAAAATACGTAGCTTATGTTTATTTTGTTTTGTTTAACGCCGCAATCAGCAATATTCCAGCTATATGACGGCGGTCTGTAAATACTCGAGTCTGGAGCAGACAATCCAGTGATTGACACCATGAGCATCGATCCACGCAATTGGGATACGATGACATGCATCAGTCAAGTCAGCGAGCCTGACCACCCGATACCGTAAGTCGCCTCTTACGAAAAAGATTCCAATTTACCTGCTAAAAGAAGTCGTTTGTGTAAACTTAATATTTAAAGATGGCGGCGATGAGGCAGGCTGCCAGAAGGGAAATGCTGACCACAGTGCTTGCGGCGCCACCTGGTGAGGAAAAACATTTATTTATCAAACAGAAAACGTAAACAACAAATTGAGAACAATGCTTTGGACATGAAAACGTTCGCCAGATAATTCTTACATAGAATTGTTACAAGTAACAAAATTAACTTTTTATTACATTATTTTGATCTGAAATGGGGCAAACCTACAACCAAATCAAATTCACCTTAACTTTTAACCAGTTATTACAATGACATTATTTTGAATTAAAATGAAGCACAAATAACAAACTCAAATCCAAGCGTACCGAGTTTAGTAGCGAGGGGACAGATCGCTTCTAATTCCTTGTAGGTACACTCGAACTGCTGGTTCTCTGAAAACAATGAACGTCGGTGGTGAAGCAGGCATTATAATGGTATTATAGGGCCCTGGGAATGTCACGAAGGGGAATAATACACTCCTGGGGAAAAGACAGTGTACACTAGAAAATTGAATTTGACAAAAAAAAAGTTCAAACGTTATTAAAACGCTACTCAGCTCAAAATAGTCGGCGAAACAGTGAGAGTAAACCTGGGGTCCAAAACACAACTATGGTACCGTATCAAATACATCACAATCGAAAAACCATTTCGTGTTTGTTTCATTTTTAGCCACCATCAATATGGGTGTATTCTTTCTTTTGCCCGGCAGTTTATGAACTACAACAGAGATACCTTGTACATATTAATGTACTTTCTATTTCTACCGGAGACACATCTTCTTCAGGTGGCCCAGATGTCTATGGTGCCGTCCCTTAAACGAGACAAACACCTGTGATCGAGGGTTCGAATCCCAGCTAGTCCTGATTATATTTCTAGGTTTGCTATACCCGTGCTCGCAGGTTTCACCAAAGTGGTAAACATCTGAGACCTGCATCACTTCATGATTTCCTCGCACATCAAACGGATACGCCGTGATGTAACTAAAATTCTGCCCAAACCGGAATTAAATACCAAAGTCACAAACTATTCCTACTGTGGGTCATTGCATGTTTGTGTTCACTTCTTATTAAACCACAGTAAAACTTTGAACTGGATGTACTCGATACATCGTTTAAGGCAATGTACCCCAACGGTATCGACATGACGCTCTGATTACTGTAACCCGATTGTGTCGAGCTTCGGATATTTCAACTAGTTTTGTTTGTTTGTTTGTTGTTTAAACCGCACTCAGAAAATAATCGAATCTGGACCAGACAACCCAGTGATTGACATCACGAGCATCCATTTACGTAGTTGGGATACGATGACATGCATCAGCCAAGTCAGTGAGCCTGACCACCGATCCCGTTAGTCGCCTCTTACGACAAGCGTGGGTTGCTGAAGACCAATTTTAACCCGGATCTTCATCTAGTGATCGAGTTAAGGGGGTATCAACATCTCATTAAAATGATCATGGTATCTTACTCAGCTCCTTGTCCATCTCCATCTCGCAGCCCTCGGGGAAACCAAAAGCGTTGACACACTTAATCATGACGTTGAAAGCTCTACAAGGAAACATAGATAGCCACAATAAATACTTATTCCACATCTCACAAACGCCTAGCCAGACCAACATTTAGTCCAGGAAATAATGTTTTCTTTTTTAAATATACATATAAAAAAAGTTATTAAGTAAAATCCAAAAAGAGCTAAGGACAGTGCTGAATTGCCAACTCATTCTAGGCTTGAACTGGATTAGTTATTCATTCTCTAGGGTCCGGAAAGAAACTAAGGTATGACACATGTCCCTGTAAACAGAGACGGCCCATTTGATAATCAGGGGTAGTAGTTTTAAAAATGATAACGTGTATGTTTTTGGTTGGGAATTCAGAAATACCTCTCGCAGGCCTAAAATAATATTAATATCTATACATGTATATCAAAAGGCCTGAAAATTTTAAGAGCTTAGAGCCAAAAGGGGCCCAAATGCACTTTGGCCCTTTTTGCATATTATTGCATAAATAACATCTATGAGTTCTTGTCTACTTGTAGAAGAAATATTGTATGTTTTCATTGATATGTTTTTGAAACATAGCTACCTATAATTCTGTAAAAGGGCCAAAGTCATTTTCCAAAAGGGCCAAAGTCACTTTGCTAGATTTTGGCCCCTTTAGCTCTCATTTTCGTTTGTGGCTGAGACTGGTTGTTCAAGAGATTTTGAATGTTTGGAAACATTATTATTATGTTTCAACTCTTTCAACAAAGTTGGCATTCGTTTAAATCATTTAAAAGAACTTCAATAGTATGTGTTTGTATTTTCAGTAGTAGTTTATCAATCTCACATGATAAATCCCATACAAATGCCTGAGGGTAAAAAGGGCCAAAATACAGACATTGGTCCTTTCCGCCCTTACACAAATTTAAAACGTAAGTTTATTTCCTTTTTTTCAAATGTTCTTTTATAATAACATTTATATGTCTGCTGTCAGAATGTGTTAAAGTTAAGGAATTTATCAGTGAATAAAAAATGTTCTTTAGCATGCATATATGGTTATGGTTTTCATATGTTTTCTTAAAACGGACTCCACATGACATTGGCCCTCATGGCTCTAAGCTATTCATAACAACGTTAGATGATGATTTGTCTGAGTACGTACGTGCAACTCTCCACTAAGATGTCGGTGGGACAGGTGGTGTTGCCGGCGGCGATACGAGCTTTACGGTCGTCGATGTTGAGGAGGTTGGCGGTGGAGAACGAGGCAACACATACGTCGAACTTTGCCTTGGAGAATGTACCGCAGCTGCCGTCGCTTGCAGCATCAGCAACGCTGACTGGAATGATATAATGACAACGAGGGTGATGACGACAAGGATGATAATGATGGTGTGTTAGCCTCTCTCTCTCTCTCTCTCTCTCTCTCTCTCTCTCTCTCTCTCTCTCTCTCTCTCTCACTCTCTCTCTCTCTCTCTCTCTCTCTCTCAAGTCTGATTTTAGACGCGTGTATCACTTATTAACCATTATGATATATGGTTTTAGTATTTACAGGCAGCTGATAATAACGTTCCGTGTCCAAGCATGGCATTCATTTAAAATGAAAGTAATGAAACCCACTGGTGATGATAATAAAAGGAATAATAACAATAGTGCTGACGTCAGTAGTAATGTACATTTCAGAACAGTGGAATGAGTAACTGTCTACATGAATCTACGCTTGTGTCATACTGAGTAATCTGGTACACGCAATAGTCAGGTAAGCTGGCTTAGCTGAAGTAGCAGCCACTGACTCACCACACCCATTGCACGAAAGAAACATTCCCGGTGTCGAGGCAAAAATTGCCCTGTGGAAAATAATATCCATAAGCGGACAATTTAACATTCTTGTCTATCCAAATAAACACATATGTTTCAATGTTCATGTTAATATGTTCAAATAGATACTATCATATTTTAAAGTGACATAGAACATGTATTATTGAAAATATAAAATATATACGCTCAATGAAAGTATTGCCGAAGGGGTGAATAAACAAACATTATCACGATGTACTGACTGATGAACATGATTGATCTGTGATGCCCCGTTATGTTTGACACCTCTAAGGTGACACGAGGTCAACACAACGCTAGCTTCATAACCTTCAACGGGAAAGGTCTAACGGTTTATGTATGACACACCATCGGGGCCATCGACCTGGTTCGTGACAACACCCCCTGATGAACATACTGCCTTCTGTCGTCTGACGATGAGGCCTTTGTCTCCAACCACGATACAAACAAATTACTGCCTAAACTGTAGGCGTGTCACCATTAGCTATTCGACACGTGTTCCAAAATAACAAAGCAAAGGTGTCTTCACGCATCTGGGATCACACCTCAAAGTCACCTTGCCACAGTCACTGAGATGAGAGATGAGACAATTTCCCCCCCCCCCATGTACACGTTTTGTACCTTGCAAACTTGTTGCGTTAAATGGCTGCTATCGATTTACGAGTTTTTAGTTGGTGATTTTCGTAATGTTTTTCGACATAGTCTGGGTCTGCTCAAGCAGTGGTTGATAAAATAACAGACGCACATAAAAGAAATGGTTTAAAATAGCTTGCTCAGCATTTCGTCTTAAAGCATGACCACTGTCTTAGTTGCTCCATTTTGAAATACCCCAAAGCCGTGATGTCATCTGTTTATGTGTCCCTACTTCCATTCAAGGGCAATAAAACTATATATAGGATCCATCATGGAATGCTGCGTTTACCGGGGAATAAAAAGTATCTCATTCCCATAAGGTTAACTCTGCGGTTCTCCTCAAGCAGTTCTCTTGGCAGAGACGGCAGCGTTAGCATGCACTCATTGGCCGTCCTTGAAGCTGTGGAAGGTATCCATTGATGGAGATGCTAGCTTCCCCGAGGAAAAAAAAACAGCTGTTGGTTTCACGTTCAATCTTGAAATCTACACGCTTAACGTACAACGATTGCTTCCTGTTTACCTTCAATGTTTGTATACATGTAAACAACGATTTTATAGGTACATTGATTAATATGTACCATAACCTATTGAGATGAAGCAAATTACACGACCTAAATAGCATTCCTTTCGGTAATAATGCTCATATGAGTATACAGTAAAGTACGGTTATAACGAACTCAAAGGGACTACTAATTTTAGTTCGTTATAACCGTAGTTCGTTAACGTTATAAGCATATATACAGCATAACTACAGCAAATAGTCGGGACCAAAAACGTAAGTTCGTTATAAGCGTGTTCGTTATAACCGTAGTTTAATGTAATCTTATTTAGTTATCTTTTTAGGCTCTAGGATGGGGTCTAAGTATACGTTGTTTTCGAAAAGCAAACTAAGGTCAAATTGACAACATTCAGTGTTATTTCGTGTTATTAGTGATAAAGTTGGTCCAGAAATATTATTTGAACTGATGTTCATGAAATGCTGTTTTGGAACAATGATGTTATATATGAACAATAACGGGACATTTTGCTATTCGTCATTATGAGAGATATGTTAACCAAAACGCGGACTGGGGACGTTTTCAAAATGTTATATATGTTTTTTGGTTTTTTTCGAATGTCTCCGTGAATAGCCACAAGATTGCCGATGCGGCGTTAAGCAATAATCACGCACTCACTCACTCGAGTATCGGGTAAATCTGACACGACCTCCTACACATTGATATTCTCATATTCTCAGCTGGCGACAGGAAGGCCTAATGAGAATAATAAGGAGGTTTAGGGAACGGATAGAACATAATTGGAGTTAAACAATATTGATTATTCGGTATAGAAAATGACATTAGTCGTCTTACAATTTGTACGTATATTCAAGGATACGTTTTGACACGATAATGTTCGTGAAACTCGGTTCTTAGCTGAATCAATTGTATATTTACTCCCTGTGTGTGTGGGTAATGCACTACTCATTTGCGAGTGAGTGGTTGAGTGCGATTCACGACCATGACTCTAGGGTTTAGGGTTAAGGCGGCAATAGGGTAGCCTAGTTGTTAAAAAGTTGACTCCTCAATCCGAAGATCTGGGTTCGAGTCCCCACATTTGTAAAATGTGTGAAATCCACTTTTGGCGTCCCCACCGTGATATGACTGAAATAGTGCTAAAAGTGAGTGAGATAGTGATTAGGGTAATATATACCATAACACGCTTTGAACACTATTTCAAGTCTATTACGATTTACCGGCTTAAATTAGGAAAATCTTGAAATTATGTTGATCTTGGATGTTTACAACTTAATAACAACCCCTTAATAAACAACCCCACCGTATGCTGCTAATGGGCCGAGCATCATAATAGCGATTGAATTAGCGCTAAAAGCCGCGTTAAGCCAAATTCACTCACTCAGTCTAATGTTTGCCACTGACATGTGTCTATGACATCTTTTAAAACAGCTTGCAAAGTGACTTTGGGGCTACAGTTTGGTACACCATCAAACACCTACGTTACATCCACCAAGCGAAAAGACAGTGTCAACAGAATCCTCCCCCCCCCCCCCCCCCCCCCCCCCCCCCGCGTTAATTAAACAGAAAGCGAGTGCTATTTGGGTAGCCATCAGAACAAATACAAATCGGGGCAACGAAGTGGACGCTTGGCCTGATCCAACAGTTATAGCAGGCAGTGTTTACTCGTAAAATATACAGACATATTTGGATGGTTACACTGACACTATTGCCAGAACCGGTTTTCTCATTATACCAGCATGTTCACCACAACGCTATTTACCTGTCAAGACAACGCCACTACCTGGAGGGCTATGTGTAGATGAGGAGAACTGGCCATGCTAGCCAGGTGATGGGAGGGGCATTTGATACTATATTTAAATACTGTCAAGAGGAGAATTACGCGGAAACCTTTTAGGGTCACATGGTTTTTGAAGTTTCGTTTCTAGAAATTGCAAGATATCTAGTTGAAATTTCAAGATGCTATGTTGAAAATTCAAGATACATAAGTTGAAATTTCACGATAAAATCTTAAAATTTCAACTTTTTATCTTGAAAATTCAACTTAGTAAGTATCTTGAAATTTCAAGAAAAAATGGCCTTAAAAGGCTTCCGTTGTGTTATGTTGTACCCGGTTCAGATATATTCTGAATATGTATTTACTAACTTTTGATAGGAAGAGAGGGGGTATTTCATACGTTTTACTAATGACCTAACAGTTAGTCCGTTAGCAGAACTCTCATATATCTATACTATCGCTGCCACCAGTCACGACTCTCCTCGTTGCTAGGCAGCATAGCTTCTCCATCAGTCGAGGGATGGGGATTCAGCAGTAATAGTGGATGTGTCACGATTCAATCAACAAGCAGAATTATGTACGAAACCTAAAATAAACATGTCCTGAAACTTACACTTAATAGTCTACCAATAGGCGGAGGAAGAAGCGGGTGTAATAGTGTTGTCTGTTATTCTGTCTATACACCTGTCATATGTCTATCCATGTATCTATCCATCCAACGACCGGCGTATCTATCTCTGTACCTAGCAGACCTTGTCTTCTATCTGACAACAGCTGTTTGTTTAAACCTCGGTTATCCGTGTTGGAATTTTCTCGCCGCCATGCCTGGGCAGCAGGACTCGGCGCAGAGTGCGCAGTTGGATAAACACGCTGCTTGCATAACCTGTGTGCGACAGGGATGTCAGACAAGACTGCACCGGTGAATGCAGGCTCGAGCGGAACGTGCAGTTTCTGCCTAACGGTTAATTTGTTGCTTTGTTCGGCTGTTAAATAACTGATTAATTGACAATGATGATCATCATCATAATAAAACTTAAATATTGTTATTGTTAAAATTATTAGCATTATCGTCACCACCGTTAATCTCTCTGATTGGCATTGTTGCTATTGACGACGGCGACGATAATGATGATTTCTATGGTGTTGATACGACGAAGCATGAGTTAATATAAATATGGCTGCTACTATACATGCTATTTTGCAAGCGTTACATATCAACCCAGCCTCTGTGTTAACACATCTACCAGAATGTTGCTTTCGTCATAGTATGTGACCCTCTGAGGGCACCAACTGTAAAATGAATGAGTTACAGACACACAACGCACATTTTACCGCGATTGGTGACAAAGGGTCTTCCGACCAATTGTATTTTGAGGACATGACAATTATAATTGACAGGTGGAGAACATGCGACGCCCACCTTGAAATCGACAAGTGGGGATGACATGGCGACATGAGGAGGAAACACACTGGGGTCACGTGACCATGATGACTTACGGAAAACAATGCTCGGGTTGACAAGAGCTTTTAAGATTCTCTAGGAAAACAGTAGGTTGTCTCCCACACCCTAGAGAAGCGATTAAAGACTGAATCCAAGACTTGAATGAAATTAAGCATTGTTCTGGGCTCCATTTGGATTTTATTTTCTATTTTGTAGATATATATTTTGAAATAATATTATTATTAAGTTAACTTCATTTTTGACTAAATGTTTGTCTAGTAAAACGGTTCGTTTCAGAATTCAGAATCTGAAGAGTTATATTTAAAACATCAATATCATTAATATTTCTTTGATATAATTTTGTATGCATTTCATTTACCAAAAACATATTTGGGAACTTTTGTAAATATACTTTTATTCAGAAAAAAACGAAGACATTTCTACATTCACAAAGGCCACCCTCACACCTGACGTTGATTGTGAGGGATACACTTTTTTTTGTTCTCGTTGTTTGTAAGCGACATCAATACATCATTGCACGACATGATAGATGACACACCTGTCCGGGCACGGGGAAATCATGCGGAATGCTACATACATGACAGCAATGGGTCACGGTGTGATTTATGTAGCGTGTTAATTTCATGGGTGTATGTTGCATACACGCAGAGTTGATACAGATGTCGTACCTCCCATCATCGGGTCAGAGTAATCCATTTCATTAAGGTAATCACCATCGATCATCTGTTTGCCAGATCAATTATGTTAGGAGCAGAATTGTTCTGCTTGGATACGGAACGTTATTATCTGCTGCCTGTAAATACTAAAACGATATAGCATAATGGTTAATGAGTGACACACGCGTCTCAAATCAGACTGGAGAGAGAGAGAGAGAGAGCGAGAGAGCGAGAGAGAGAGAGAGAGAGAGAGAGAGAGAGAGAGAGAGAGAGAGAGAGAGAGAGAGAGAGAGAGATTGCCTGCCACAAAACTAGATTGTTATAATGTGTTTTTGTGTTTTTAAGCAAGAAAAGGATATCTGCTTTTGTAGATGTCACTGAAAAAAATTGTATGGTCTCATTACCTATCCAAAATACAAAAAATGGCTTCACTCCAGTTGGTCATCATCATCTCCATCATCATCATCATGTTTACTCCCCTCCCCTCGACATCATCATGATAATCTTCTTTGTATCTTTGGTAATATAACCTTGTCATTAGGCCGAAATAGTTCACGATGCTTCTGAGATCAGTTAATACAAAGGAACAACCAAGAGGGATGTCGGAATGTGTTTCTAAAATACAATCAAGACCCTGTTTTACTGAATAAAAATATTGCAAATGGCCCTCATTGTAAGAATGAAAATTACAGTACGTTACTTTTATTCATGGTACAAATAATTGAGCACACATGTTAGAAATCAAATGGTTGGGGTCTGCGGATGTCCATACGGTGTTTTTTAACCCAGAGGCGTAAAGCGTGCTGTGGCCGAGTTTACCGAGGAATGCGGAGTTGGTTGTTATTTGCACGGACACGACGAGCTACGTGTGATCACGTGACAACCTCTACGCATGAATGTTTTCACAGATATACGATAATCTCCACAAAATATCATACTATTTCAACCGAATAGCAAACCGTAGTCAATGCATCCCGAGTTGGTTGCTGTGATACAAGAGTTCTGCAAGTTACACGTAATGTACTCAATGTGCTGGTCCAAAGCTGTAATGTCTGTACGTCTTGGCTATCCAACTTCCCCTTGGAACGCAATGGACTGTGCCACTATGCATATTCCTCGGGGTCAGGTCAAGGTTATAGTAATGTCAAAACTTGTTTTGCACAAAATATGAAATATAATACTAAAGATTACCAAGGCATGACCAAATGGTAAGTGGGAGTGGAATGAGGCCTATGAAGGTATATGTTTCAAATCGCATTGACACTCAGTCAGCAAATTTTAGTCGGGTGGTGAGCGTGGTTTGATCTTAAACCTGTCAATATTCTATAAAAATAATAATAAAACTCCGAAAAACGAAAGAAAAGTTTGGCCCTACTGCAAATCAAGTGATAAAACGAGAGTATATCACAAGTAGCGAGCGTGTGTGATGTTTTCAAAGCTTGCTACAAATATGTGCTAATACTCTGCTGCCGTTATGGTAAATACTGATAAAATAGTGTTAATTATCAAGGTCGGTCGGTGCATCCGTTAGAGGATCTCGCGGTTTCCAACATTACCTTTGTTACCATGACAACCATCGGATAACGAGCTCTCCTCCCGATTGACAGTTCTTCGATAAACTGGGCGTTGAGTGCACCGACGAAGGATGCGCTCACTGCGAGTAAGGCGCTTAGTTAACTATAGGTATCTATCTATCTATCTATCTATCTATCTATCTATCTATCTATCTATCTATCTATATATATATATATATATATATATATATATATATATATATATATATATATCCTAGTGTGTTGCAAGCAAACATACTTGATCTGTTTCTATGTCAAAGCGGCAGTCCTCTCATATTAATAAAATTTAATTCGCTTGGTTTTTTTCAAATCGCTTACACCTGAGTCTAATGAGATCGACAGTTATAATGCACCATTTAATGTGTTTGTGGTCTGTGTGTGGGTGGAGGGGGGGGGGACGCAAACGATTATGGCATAAACTAATGTGTGTGTGTGTCCTAATTTTGCTGCGAAAAAATAATATATCAGCATGTTTTACGTAAATTAAATAATGGATGGTATAAATTATGTGAAGTGAAAATAAATTAGATTGTTCGGCTCATCCATTCAGAGGGGAAAATATGAATGTTTGATTCAGTCAATGACAAATATCCTATCTTTAACCACAATTCTCCCATCCACCAACCCACCCCCAGAATATTTAAAGATCGGACCCTCAGCGTCAGTAGAGATAATAGCCAAAGGCGTCGTTCCACAAAGCGTTCTTAGTCATAAGTCACTGTTATAAAGTATAGCAGTAAGTACCGCCGCTGCCCTGGCACGGTTTGATGTAGCAATTAGCCCAGGGGCTGGAGCTGTGAGTCACTCATGCATTCTTGTGCTTCGTGTCGAGATAGGGTCATCTGCTCCGCATGACTGCGCGTATACATCGAGCAAAACACATCCCACGGGTAAATGATGGAACATCCGTGGAATTCAACGTGGAATCTGAGACTGGTGATCGAAATGTAAAGGCGTTAATGATTCATCACTTGGGGTCATTTCCGAGTCATTTCCGTTTTGGACGTTTTGGGTTTCTTACACCCCGTCCACATGCACAACATTTACTCACATAAGTAATTTTGCACATGTGTAACTATACACACATGTGTATATGTAAATTCACTATGCGTTCACATGAAAATTAATGAATGTTTGTAAATGAAGTATGTAAACGGTGTAAGATACACATATTCATCAGTCTTTTCACTACGTTGAACATGAAAAGGTTGTTTTCCAAAAAAGTCAAACGAGAAGAGAGTTACGTCGCAGAAATCTTCACATAAAGCAACATGTGTTTGATTTAATCTGTACATATTTTTTTCACTCCACGAAACCCACATTAAACACTGTCCACACAACGGAAATGTAATCATTGATAACAATGGGCTTGAACCTCCGGCAACAAAACAATGGATTTTACACCATATATTTTACACCATATCTATCTAATTCAATATAATAGTTCTGCCATTACACACGTTCTCGTACATTTTGTTTTATGTTTAAATACAGGACTTTTTAGCGAAATTCATGCACCGGGGCGTGGTTTGGTTCATGAATATGCATGAATATCTATAAAAACTCCTGTTTCAACATTATGTATATCTTAAAGACAAAACTGATCGGACACAAGTTGCGAAACACCGTCGTCTTCAGTATAAACTTTGTCACACAGTGGTTTTGCTTGGTAATATTATCTCCGTTTTCTGACTTAAGATCCACCATCCCAAGGCCCCTCTGCATAAGTACCAGCACAGAGCCCGTTAATGGAATGTCATTTTGTAACTTGAAACTCCACAATCTCACAAGCACAAGCATATAGTATATGTACACTTCTATTGCACGACGAGACGGAAACAGATTAAAATTGAGAAGAAAAATAGCATACACAATAAGAACTTTTTAACGAAAATGCCTCGATTCACAAGTGTGGGAAAATCAGTCAACTACAGTTAAATGCATAATGTTACAAATGCATTGTAAAAGTGAAAAAAATATAAAATATGGAGAAAAAGTGAAACAGCATCGAAATTACAATGAGACAATGGATACCAGCTGAAACAGACGGGCATGCACGGCTTGCCTCTTTGCCCAGGCAGTTTAGAGGAAAGCCTTGCAAGAATTCTAGCCATGCTATGCGCGGAGTGCTGCATTAATTGGGGTCAATTATGTGTAAACAGATCCCGTACTCTCCAGTCTGATGCAGGGGTGTCACGTGTGTTTAATGACTCAATCTAGTCACAAAAGCACATAGCTTTAGTTTATGTACATTGTCAATAGGCGTTCCAACAACAGTTCTTTGTCACACACAAGTACACAAGAATGTCATATAAACTTCACAACTGTACTTGCAGTTTGTGCTTCCTTCTAGATTTAAATCTAACTATTAAGAAATCGTCACGAGGAGGTTGGTAATAACGATGCTGACTACACTGAACTGTCTGCGATTTTATCTTGCATAAACGTCCGTCGCTTTTACCTCATCTTTATTAGACGAATTATACAACTACTACATAAAAGTGTATGTGTCAAATAAAAAATCTTTGTTATTCTCAGGAAGACGAGACTGGCGCGTTTTCTTACAGCAATAACATATATGATTTCTGAAAGAATAAATTTGCTAATTTCTTTATATTTTCAAATTGTATAAAGCAGGTGTGTTTATCAACTATTTAGCCGCAATATAGAGGTTAATTCTAGACGTACAACTGCCAAATCCAAATCGGTCACTTAAACACACCGTTGTCTGAGATGCAGGGCGGCAATGCTATTTAAGAAACAACATGGCGTTCATCCCTGAACCCTTCGTCAAAGGTGCGTTATTTAAACAAATGTCGGGAACAATATGTTTTCAAATTCAAGTTGTAGGTAAAAAAACAAGATACTCACAGTAAAGCACTACACAGAGAGCTGAAAGACCGAGAGCCTTGATGGACACCATGATGCTGGAGATAGTACGTATACCTTGTCTTCTAGCTGTACCTGTTGATGGACACTGAGCCTGGCGATGCTGCGCATCTCTTTAAGTGTCTTGATATTCGGTGTCGATGGAAAGAGTTCCCCGTGAAAAAAGGACCTCAAGATAGGCGTTCCACGCCCATTGCTATATTTACAAGTAACCTTTCACTCGGAAACTTGAATTAAGATACAAATTAAAAATGCGTTCTCATAATGTGATATCCTTTTTTCATAAAGAGCTGTTTATCCCATCGATTACTATATATTAGCGAAGTTATTTAGACACGCTTACTGTTTTTGGTAAAGTTTATGGTTTAATGCATACAATAATTAATGTGTTCCTTAGGTTTATAAAAGGAGTTAGGGATCATGAATATTTAAGGGATATTATTTGTAGTGAAGACTGAGCTCATAATTTCATAAAAATATCCCCTAAAATATTCACGATCTCTTGCTTATTTTGTTCAGCATAGTAATAACGTTTTTTATCCCACAAAGATAGGCGTTTCATCTGGCCAGGCCCGTCAACTGGTTAAAGCAGAGTATGTAAAATATTCCTACCACGGGTTACAAGGAGAGAATTCCTGCCTACCATAGTCAGCGACAAACTTATGACGTCACATCCGTAAACAAACGTCATCTCTCACTGATGTTGACAATAATGTGAAACTCGACAGTGAAATTGTGGAACACTCCATATACCAATGATGAAACGACAGATTAGCTTGTTACTTCCCCCAGAGCACAATAATGAGTTTGGCCAACAGAAACGTATCTGTTTTCATGAGGCCGCCTCTGCGGTCTAATGGTAGAACGTCCGCCCGGAGAGCGGAAGGTCCGAGGTTCGATCCAAGGTCGCGTCATACCAAAAGACATTTAAAGATGGTACTTGTTGTTGCCCTGTCTGGCGCTCGGCATTAAGAGGCTAAAACAAGGACTGTCTGCTCGTAGTCAGTATACTGTGTCAGAGTGGGGTATTCATGTTAAACTGCGACATGGTATTTCAGTGGGACTGTAACCTACTATCACCTCACAGACAGCTTGGGTTAAAGACTCCCTAGTGAGCTGACAATGACAACTCGCGGGCGCCCTGTCCATTGACCTAGGTAATAATGGTACAGTCCCTGAACCATATTATTTTCCCTTCCGACCATCCCTTTCTCAAATGCAAAAGCTCTACGTGCAGCAAGTCAAGATTTTCCTCAGGTTCAGAATCTCACTTCTCACTGGGGCTCCTTTTTAATTTAAATGGAGTTATTTGTTTTCATCAAAATTATATATTTACATAGACTTAGCGTTGGTCTTTGAGCATACACGAGTATGTAGTTTAGCGCTATATAAGAAACTTAACCACCACCACCACCACCATCATCATCATCATCATCTATGCAAATGTTGTACTGTAATGTTTGCACTTTGTCCCTAGTGACGTTTCGTATCTTCTTCGTCTTTTTCATAGATATATGGTCTCTGTCAACACGATGTATGTTTTCTTTTGAAATATGGGGATAAAGGCTTTAGAGAAATGTGTATCATACGTTTTAACACGTAGTGTTTCATCCTCTTAACATGAAGCTGCCAACCAAACGTAGGTGTTGCCTTGGTTCTCGCGGGAAGCAACGTGACATGGACGGTGAAACAAAGGCGGTCAAGGTTTGAAATCAAGGTTACGTAAGTCAGTGAAAACCGACACGACCGTTGGCAACTGCGCGAGATAAAGTTACACAAAGGACACCCAACCTCTGTTTGCTCTGCGCGCCATCAGAACTGATTCTGCCGCAATGCCTGACTGAAGAGGGTCATTAAGCTGTATCTATTGCGCAACCTTAACTCCTTACTTCCGACGGTGCTTATTTGCGTTATTCCCTATGTAATTAGAGCCACAGCTAGACACTAAGTTGTTTCACCGTTCTCATCAGGTATAAGAGACCGACCATTGGGGGTGGGGTTGAGTTGTTCCTGAAAATCTGTGAAATAAATAAGTATGAAGCAGACTATTAAAAAGAAAAGTGGTAATTCCGAAAAAAACAAAAACATTGTTGCAATGTGAATTTTACCAAAATAAAATCATTTAGGCTCACAGTTTAAATTAAAACAAATATCTTGTTTTGCACCTCTTCCTGAAAAATATCTATGTTCAATATATCGTGCATTAACAAAAAACAATGAAGTTTCGTTGACGCGCCCCACATTTCCTAGGCATATGGTTTAAAACGTTGCAAACCCAGGATTCGGTTAAAATAGGCACCACATTTTTTCGAACTACGGCGAGCTCACCAAGTATAAACACTGAACTTGACCACATGTACAGGGACACGTGTTTACGTGTTTGCACGTGCATCAGGTGACATTCTGAGTTGGGTTTTAAGTCACGTTTAGCGATATTCCTCCCCTGTCGTAGTGGGGGGACGCAAGCCAGAATGTGCTTCACATGAATGGACGTTTCTGCAAAGACAGACAGTTCTCTAGCTACTTACCTATCAAGAGAGTGATGTTTGTTAAAGTCACGGTCAGCACTGGTGCAGCTGAACCAGAGGCGGTAGGGTAACCTAGTGATTATAAAGCAGTCGCCCGTCACGCCTAAGACCCAGGTTTGAGTACAATGTGTAAAGCCCATTTCAGGTGTCCTCCGCCGTCATATTGCTGGAATATTGCTAAACGCGGCGTAAAACTATACTCACTCACTCCAGCTGTATCACGATGCCCTGTATTTAATCCATTCTGTACCAGACAAAACAGTGAACGAACACCGATCAGCCAAGTCACATTGCCAGACCCCCCGATCCCTATCCCCGCTGCTTGATCTGGTACATTGCTCACACCATCCCTCACTCGCTCGACGTTCAGAATGATCAGAATTAATATCTTTGCCGATGCTACGTAAAATTGTGACATACTTCCATTTAAGAACCTGGCATTATTTAACGCTTCAGATGAAAAAAACTTATGTCAGGATAAAAACGTAAGTCTATATAATATATTTTTAATTCCTATAAATGAGCAGTGGTTGTTCGCTGACCTACAGTCCCTAAACCATTTCCCTTTCTTTTATGCTATAGCCCTAAATGAAGTAAGTCTAGATGATACATAGGAATCTCCCACCTTATTTGGGCTACTTTTTCAATTAAAATGGAGTTGTTTGTTTCTATCAAAATGTTATATTTTCAGTGACTAAGCGTTAACCTAATTGGCAAGTGATGTCATGAATTGATGGATATATGATAGGTCTCGGGTGTTTCCATCTTCCTTAAATGTATACAGCTTATTCTTTTAAGGAGCTCAGCAAATGTCCGCTCTTTCTACATATACACGCTAGTCTAGACCCTAGAGAATAATATTGATAAAGTCGATAATGTCGATAAAGTAGTCCACCTCAAGTCTAGAATGATTTGGCAAGTCTAGATTGCCTCATCACTAAGGATTGTTCTGGGCTACATTTGGATTTTATTATTTTTTTGTAATATATATGGGACTAAATACCAGTCTATCAACACGCCTCAATGCACTTTCACGAAATGCAGGACATGTTTTTCCTTTCTGATGAGTCATATAACAATTCCCCATTACATCTATTTCCATCCACACTCACAAGGTGAATGCTATCTGTTATATTAATCTCTTGTTGTGCATTAGGCAATTAACGAGTAAGATAACAATGGGTTTACATATCGCCGCGACCGTATCCATGGAGACGAGCGTCCTGTCATCCTGCTGGCGGCTCATCCCGCCCAAGGTCGTAGAACCTGAGCTTTAGACGTTTAACAAAAACAACTGTAGGCAGTGTGAGCGTTGTCGACAAATAGATTTTCACCATTTGTGATGGTTCCTTTTGGTGGTGAAACTGAAATTTTATATATATTAACTCGACAAATGACTTGTTGCGACTTGACATCATCAGTAGACATTGATGCAGTGCTTAAAATTCCCCCCGCCAAATAACGTCATATCCAGAGGGAGGAATAGACTTGCACGCGTCTATTTTCTAAATTATATAAATAACAAGAGCACGTTGTCCTAATAAAAGACTGGCTTTGTTTTCTTTTCAGAATGAACACACCTTACCCGCCTAGTTCATCCATTGATTTGGCAAAATCTGAAAAAATAAATTTTAACAAATAAAAGACGGTCAATTGAGATCCTAATAATATAATAAAGATGGTCCACAGAGACCCATAAGTTCAAAAAAAGGTTCTTAAAAACCCTAAGGAACATGACATACAGAAAAAAGGGCCCACAAGGTCTTCTTGTGACTGTTGTGGCTGGTTTGTTGTTTTACGCTCCACTCATCAATATTCCAGCTATATGACGGCTGTCTGTAAATAATCGAGTCTGGACCAGACAATCCAGTGATTGATATCATGATCATCGATCCACGCAATTGGGATCGATGACATGCATCAACCAAGTCAGCGAGCATGACCACCCGATCCCGTTAGTCGCCTATTACGACAAGCATAGTCGCCTTTTACGGCAAGCATGGGTTGCTGAAGACCTATTCTACCCCGGAACGTCACGGGTCTTGAAGTTAGTGTAAACATATCTACTCTAAATTCATGGTCGTTTGTGTCGACTGAACACACATCAGATACCTTAATGTTGACCTGGAATATGCGCTTTATTCATGGATTGATCTACAGGGTAACTATAATCTTAATTTTGACCATGTGCATTCAAGCGGAATGTCCACAAAAATGACAGAGATGTTTCAGTGGAGCTATTAATTATCAGGACAGGATTGAAGGGTCTGATTGATTTGAAATATGCACACACCTTCCGCATGTATGCGCTGTATTGTAACCTAATCAAGGTTGGGATTTCTTCTTTGACGTCACATACACATTGGTGGTAAAATAATATGGGCGAGGATTAATTTTGGTTATTTTGTTTGTTTTGTTTATTGTTTAACGCCTCACTCAGCAATATTCCAGCTATATGACGGTGGTCTGTAAATAATCGAGTCTGGACCAGACAATCCAGTGATTGGTATTATTAGCATCGATCCACCTGGTTGGGATACGATGACCTGTCTCAACGAAGACAGTGAGCCTGATCACCCGATCCAGTTAGTCGCCTCATACGACAACCATGGGTTACTGAAGACTAATTCTATCCCGGATCTTCACGGGTCAGCGCTGTAAAAAGATAAATATATACTACTGTTCCGCAATGTAAGAAGATAAATATATACTAATGGTCTGCAGAGTAAGAAGATAAATATATACTACTGTTCCGCAATGCAAGAAGATAAATATATACTACTGTTCCGCAATGTAAGAAGATAAATATATACTAATGGTCTGCAGAGTAAGAAGATAAATATATACTACTGTTCCGCAATGTAAGAAGATAAATATATACTACTGTTCCGCAATGTAAGAAGATAAATATATACTACTGTTCCGCAATGTAAGAAGATAAATATATACTAATGGTCTACAGAGTAAGAAGATAAATATATACTACTGTTCCGCAATGTAAGAAGATAAATATCACTGTACCGCAATGTAAGAAGATAAATATATACTATTGTTCCGCAATGTAAAAAGATAAAATATATACTAATGTTCAAACCAAATGTCACATCAATCGTGACCGGACCGCGAGAATATTCCCGCTTGATCTAGGGGCGTTGTTTGGAACCGAATTTTCTATTTTACGGGTTCGGGAAGCAAAGTGCAACTCTTCGACGATCGCCCGGTTTACACCGTCCAGACACGCGGCAATCGCAAATACAACACTGCTGTACAGTGCAGAGACGTGTTGTACGTCTGTGAATATACCTGTATGCTAGCTCGACTGACTTTGGCATTTTAAATACGTGTCTGGTTTAATTACTTGGACTCCTAATGCGAATGAGAGGTTCTCGACGCACCTCACATCCCAAACTTGGAAAAGTCTCTATGGAAATGATTATATAGTTTAAATCACAATTCCTACATAATATAAGGACAAGTTCTCCCTATAAAGAAACTGTCGTAAAGTAGGCGAATCTAGACTTGCCAAATGTAAAGGAAAAAGTATACACTTATCGACTTATCATTCAGTACAGCCTTGGAGCAAGGCTACTGAAATCCCATTGACAACGGCAAGGGGGCGGTTTCTCGCCACACTGATTTTTCTGTTGGTATGCGCAACCAGATTTGAACATTTCATTATCATAGACAGACTCCCAGTCAACCTATTCTTGCCACAAGATCAAAGGAACGGAAAATGTAATATACACTATAGCCCGACTAGATATGGATTACTGACCCGTCATAAAATACATCATATATTCATTCTTATCATTTAGATATAGACGTGATTATTGCCACCCTGAACTGAGACATAATCTCTGTAATCAAGACATCATTTACAGCTGGGTTGGTTCACATCATAAACGTGCTGTTTGAGTCTAATCTTGAGTGCATGCCTTTTAGTTTAGATGATAAAATACTTAGCCCGCACCTAAAGATATATTAATATACATCCTTAAATTATTCCCCATTCAGATATTGATTGGATGGTGTGTGGCTAGCCCTGAGCCATTACTGTGGAATATGTATTACCATATATGTAATTCAACCAAGTCAAGTTCCTTGATTCCACAACAGCAATGTTCTTTTGAAAAGAAAATACAATTATATTTAATAATTCTTTTTACAGACTATAAGTGTTCTGAAAACAGCAGAAGAGGAAATGCTCTTTGGAAAAAACACTTTTATTTTTAAAGAATTGTTTTCATAGACTAAGTGTTAGCCTAGTCGGAGACCATATACCGATGGTCTCTGTTGCGACTTATAGAAGTACACGGAAGCACCCCTCAGCGCAGGCAACCTTGTAAACAGACAGCCGTGGCAGTGACTGAGTGAAGAGGTCATGGGTTGTGCAGCGCGCACTGCCTGATGGGAAGGTGGTTGAACATCTGGACAAGTCTGTCAAACAGATCTTGAAACAAAAATATCTAATACAGTCCATGCAAATCTATGTTTTGCAAATCTAGATTACTGCAGTTTCTAAAAATGAAGAAACTCTGGGCATATATTATATATATACTAATATTTTATAACTATAAGTTAACAACTGTTTTTTTTCTGTAAAATATGTTCATTTCAGAGACTAGACGTAAGTCTACATCTGGAAGTGAAACCGCTCGCTAGGATAGACTAGCACCTAGTCTCTGAAATGAACATATCCTACAAAAAACCCAACAGTTTTTAAGTTGTCTAAATGTAATATAAATAGAAGCCCAGAGACTTTCTTCAACCCCAAAAACTGCAGTTATGTTGTTTTGCACAATATTATAGACTTGCATGGGCTGTATTAGATATATTTGTTTCAGGGTCTGTATAGCAGACTACCGCAGGCGGCCTGGTAAACTGTCTCTGCCGGTGGTATGACCCGCAAGCTGTACGCTATTATCGTTAGAAAGGACATATTCAAGTGACCAGTTGGCGCCATATGATTTCTTGACTATAGAAATAACACTGTAAATAATACCCGCGATGATCCGGGTTCGAATTGGTCTTCAGCATCCCATGCTTGTCGTTAAGAGGCGACTAACGGGATCGGGTGGTCAGCCTCGCTGACTTGGTTGATGCATGTTATCCTATCCCAGTTGCGTAGACTGATGGTCACGATATCAATCACTGGGTTGTCTGGTCTAGACTCGATCATTTACAAACCGCCGTCGTATAGCTAGAATTTTTATGAGTGCGACAAACAAACTGTAAATAATGCAGTCATGCCGTGATATAACTGCAACAGTTTTTAAAATAATTTTAAACTCACTCACTCACTGTACATGTAACAACCTGATTCACAACAGTAGACCCGTAAAGATCCGGGGTAGAATTGGTCTTCAGCAACCCATTCTTGCCGTAAAAGGCGACTATGCTTGTCGTAGGAGGCGACTAACGGGATCGGGTGGTCAGGCTCGCTGACTTGGTTGATGTATGTCATTGATCCCAATTGCGTAGATCGATGCTCGTGATATAAATCACTGGATTGTCTGGTCCAGACTCGATTATTTACAGATCGCGGTCATATATCTGGAATATTGCTAAGTGCGGCGTAAAACAACAAACCAACCACAACAGTCACAAGAAAACCTTCTTGATGAAGAGTTATCGGTTTTATTTCTCTTACACACACACCAAACGTCGAAACATAAATTTATTTTCGATATCAAACATAACCAGTTTGTACATTGACAAATTTAAATCAAAGCTTTTCATTACTCGATTTATCCAGTTCGTTGTATATTGGTCTGGTGGGGTGCCACGTGAATACAAAAGGCAATCTTGTGTTCAGTATTTACGTTTTTGAATGTACCACGATGAAAGTTTATTGATATACCGTATTCGACGTAATAAGCGCCCCGCGTATAATACGCACTCGTGTGTTATATGCACCTTAATTATGGGCAATTTAATTCTGGAAATATATATCTGCCGTAAACATTTCAGGCTGTCAGCATAAACTAGGACATTTATCTTTCAACTCTGTTTTTTCCCCACCAAAATAATATTCTAATAAGAACCCTATATTTCTAATTTTGAGAGCGTCCTGGTCGCTTATTACGTCGAATACGGTATTATTAAACACTTATGTATTACCACGTGACATTGTGATGGTCGATTTGGTTGGTCATGCGTCAATGGCTACGGAAACCTCTGCACGACACAACTCATGACCGTGAGATACCAGCATGTGCGTGTTGAGAACAGCCTGATAGTTTTGTACATTTACACTTTGAGGACAAAAGAAAAGATACGGAGGTAAAACAACCCGATTTCTTTCGAAACCAGAAATATTCATATACGAGTATAAACAGCTGAAAAAGATTTGGTATGCAGAGTCTAGTGTCCCATGTGTCCTGTTCCCCACTCTGTACGTCCTGTGTCCTGTACCCTGCAAACTTTTGTATGTCATGTAACGTGCCCGCTTCTGTATGTCCTGTGTATTGTACCCTGACGTCATCTGTATGGCCTGTACACAGCCCCTTTCTATATAACATATGCCGTGCCCGCGTTTCTGTATGTCCTGTGTCCTCTAGCCTGCCTTCTTCTGTATGTCCTCTTTCCAAAACCATGTTTCCTCTGTATGTTCTCTGTCCTACACCATGTCTCTTTGTATGTCCTCTGTCCTACACCATGTGTCCTCTGTATGTCCTCTGTTTTACACCTTGTTTCCTCGGTATGTCCTCTGTCCTACACCATGTTTCCTCTGTATGTCCTCTGTCCTACACCACGTTTCCTCTGTATGTTCTCTGTCCTACACCATGTCTCTCTGTATGTCCTCTGTCCTACACCATGTTTTCTCTGTATGTCCTCTGTCCTACACCATGTTTTCCCTGTATGTCCTCTGTCCTACACCATGTTTTCCCTGTATGTCCTCTGTCCTACACCATGTTTTCCCTGTATGTCCTCTGTCCTACACCATGTTTCCTCTACACGTCCTCTGTCCTGTACCCTGCCCGCTGTATCCAACACCTTTCTGTATGACCGTGTCTTGTGCCATGGCCTCCTCTCTGTGTCTGTGTCCTGTACCATGGCTGTCTGTATGTCATGTGTCCTACATCGTGTTCCTGGTGAGAGATCCTGTGCAATGTCTAGGCTGTGTTGTCCTCATAAGCTTGTCTTGTGCCATGGCCTCCTCTCTGTGTCTGTGTCCTGTACCACAGCTGTCTGTATGTCATGTGTCCTAGATCGTGTTCCTGGTGAGAGGTCCTGTGCAATGTCTAGGCTGTGTTGTCCTCATAAGCGTGCATCTCTGCAACCAAAACACATATACAAGAACCAAGACACAAAGACCGTGAAGATCCGGGGTAGAACAGGTCTTCAGCAACCCATGCTTGCCGTAAAAGGTAACTATGCTTGTAAGAGGCGAGTACGTGATCATGTTGTCAGACTCGCTGACTTGGTTGATACCTGTCATCGTATCCAAATTGCGTGGATCGATGCTCATGATATCCATCACTGGATTGTCTGGTCCAGATTCGATTATTTACATACCACCGTCTGCTGCTGAGTGCGGCGTTAAACAACAAACAGCAAACAAACAAACAAGCAAGGAATGCAAACAACATGTACTCTTGCACAGAGATTCGTCAGAGTGGTTACACAGTAAGAGTGTGAAGGATTTTACGCCTCTTTGAACACTTTCGGCTGTATCACACTTTCGATGGCATATGCCACCAGTGTCACAATAAAACAATTAAACTCATAAGTCACTCACAATATGTGCGGTAACAACTAGCAACTATCTTTTCTAACGCATCACGTTGACACCACCTCACAACGACACGTGTTAATTAGATAGTCCTTCAAGTCGTGACACATCTCTGCTTCTTTGAGATCGGTTCTGTGTAAGATACTATTTATTTTTCAGACAGGAAAAACAAGAATTTTTAATGATAATAAGAAAAAACAAAAACGTACCTGTTACAAATAAAACTACACGTTAAAGATGGTGACAAGGAATGTGATGAGGAGGGTGACTCTGGTCATCAAAGAAGTGGCACCTTGGTATGCAAAGAATATAAATATGATTTAAAACAGCTCAGTTGTAGATAGAAGCGGCAGTAAAATATACAAAACTCGCGTGACACTTAATATATGATTCACGGATATTTTTGTTCTTACCGAAGGGTTCGTGGTCGAAACGAAATACAACACAAATAAATCCTTAATAAAATGTACACATGCCTTAGTAAACCCGTTGTGGTTAAGTTAAATTAAAAACATATAAATAAGTAGTTTTAATGGGTTTTGCGAGTTTACAACAGTTTAAGGTATATTTCAAATCTGATTTCGATAAACAGGTCCCCAGGTAAAGGGGAAAAGAGACCAATGCTGCATTCGGGGAGATATGTAAATCAAGATCTGTAAATACATATGCATTTAAGTGTGAGTTCAAGCAGCTAAATCTTCATCAAAACAAAGGTTCATTTATTAATCTTGTACAAGAACATATATAAATATATTTAAGTCAAAAGCGACGAAAGTGTTATCGTTAGTCATGAATTTCTTGACATGAGAGTATTTCTACAGTTAAACATACCTCCACACATTGCCTTTAGTTCGGCGTTGGTGCACACAATGCCTTCAGTCTCTGCAGCCAAATAAAACACATTAGGAATGCATGCTATACAGTAAAGTATATATACGTGTGGGGTTCTGGGCGTTTGTATTGAGACCATACAATTTGTTTCAGTGACATCTGCAAAATCAGATATTTTTGTTGCTTAAAAACACAAAGACACATAAACACATTAACATATAACAATCTAGTTTTGTGGCAGGCAATCTATATATATTATATAATATAAATAGTGACAACGAGGGTAATGGCGACAAGGATGATAATGATGTTGTGTTAGCCTCTCTCTCGCTCTCTCTCTCTCTCTCTCTCTCTCTCTCTCTCTCTCTCTCTCTCTCTCTCTCTCTCCCTCTCTCTCTCTCTCTCTCTCTCTCTCTCCTTTCTACACAAAGAATTCGTACGTACTGAGTTTATCGTCGTACTTTGTTTCACAGCCTCCAGGGAATCCGAGAAGATTGACACAGACCGTCATGACTTTGTAGGATCTAGGCATAGAGTGAACATGGATAGAACACAGGCATAATATTAGTAGAAAAGAGACAGAACATAGGTAGAATAGAAACAGAACACAGACATAATATGAGTATAATACACACAGAACATAGGTAGAACATAGACAGAACAGATCTAATTTAGACCGAACATAGACAGACATGGGCAGAACACATACAGAACATAGACATGGGCGGAACACATACAGAACATAGACAGACATGGGCAGACACATACAGAACATAGACATGGGCGGACACATACAGAACATAGACAGACATGTGTAGAACACATACAGAACATAGACAGACATGGGCGGAACACATACAGAACATAGACAGACATGGACAGAACACATACAGAACATAGACAGACATGGGCGGAACACATACAGAACATAGACAGACATGTGTAGAACACATACAGAACATAGACAGATATGGGCGGAACACATACAGAACATAGACAGACATGTGTAGAACACATACAGAACATAGACAGACATGGGCGGAACACATACAGAACATAGACAGACATGGGCAGAACACATACAGAACATAGACATGGGCAGAACACATACAGAACATAGACATGGGCAGAACACATACAGAACATAGACAGACATGGGCGGAACACATACAGAACATAGACAGACATGGGCAGAACACATACCGAACATTTACAGACATGGGCAGAACACATACAGAACATAGACAGACATGTGTAGAACACATACAGAACATAGACATGGGCGGAACATTGACACACAGACTGAACATAGACAGACATGGGCGGAACACATACAGAACATAGACAGACATGGGCGGAACACATACAGAACATAGACAGACATGTGTAGAACAGATACAGAACATAGACAGACATGTGTAGAACACATACATAACATAACAAAGCATGGACAGAACATTGACACACAGACTGAACATAGACAGACATGGGCAGAACACATACAGAACATAGACAGACATGGGCGGAACACAGACAGAACATAGACAGACATGGGCGGAACACATACAGAACATAGACAGACATGGGCAGAACATATACAGAACAAAAAAAAGCATGGACAGAACATTGAGGTACATAAAGAACGTAGACAGAACATGGGCAGAACATTGGCAGAATAATTACAGAACACAAGCAGAACATATCTGTATATGGCATATGCATAACACACGACTACACATCTATCTAGAACGTGGGCAGAGCATAATGGGCACGTGATAATGTCAGTACGTCTCATTGTCCGTGATAATGCCAGAACGTCTCACTGTCCGTGATAATGTCAGAAAACCAACTGTCCGATAATGTATGTTAGTACGTCTCATTGTCAGTGACAATTTCAGAACGTCTCATTGTCGGTGATAATATCACTGCGTCTCGCTGTCCGTGACATTATCAGTAGGTCTAAATTTCCGCAATAATGTCAGCACGTCTCACTGTCCGTGTCAATGTCAGCACGTCTCACTGTCCATGATAATGTCAGCACGTCTCACTGTCCATGATAATGTCAGCACGTCTCACTGTCCATGATAATGTCAGTACGTCTCACTGTCCCTGATAATGTCAGTACGTCTCATTGTGTGCGATAATGTCAGAACGTCTTATTGTCTGCGATAATGTCAGTACGTCTCATTGTCTGCGATAATGACGGGTCTCATTGTCTGCGATAATGTCAGAACGTCTCATTGTCTGCGATAATGTCAGTACGTCTCATTGTCCCTGATAATGTCAGTACGTCTCATTGTGTGCGATAATGTCAGAACGTCTTATTGTCTGCGATAATGTCAGTACGTCTCATTGTCTGCGATAATGACGGGTCTCATTGTCTGCGATAATGTCAGAACGTCTCATTAACTGCGATAATGTCAGTACGTCTTATTGTCTGCGATAATGACGGGTCTCATTGTCTGCGATAATGTCAGAACGTCTCATTGTCTGCGATAATGTCAGTACGTCTCATTGTCTGCGATAATGTCAGAAAACCAACTGTCCGATAATGTATGTTAGTACGTCTCATTGTCAGTGACAATGTCAGAACGTCTCATTGTCCGTGATAATGTCAGAAAACCAACTGTCCGATAATGTATGTTAGTACGTCTCATTGTCAGTGACAATGTCAGAACGTCTCATTGTCGGTGATAATATCACTGCGTCTCGCTGTCCGTGACAATATCAGTAGGTCTAAATTTCCGCGATAATGTCAGCACGTCTCACTGTCCGTGTCAATGTCAGCACGTCTAACTGTCCATAATAATGTCAGTACGTCTCACTGTCCATGATAATGCCAGTACGTCTCACTGTCCGTGTCAATGTCAGTACGTCTCACTGTCCGTGTCAATGTCAGTACGTCTCACTGTCCATGATAATGTCAGTACGTCTAACTGTCCGTGTCAATGGCAGTACGTCTCACTGTCCGTGTCAATGTCAGTAAGTCTCATTGTCCATGATAATGTCAGTAAGTCTCATTGTCCATGATAATGCCAGTACGTCTCACTGTCCACGATAATGTCAGTACGTCTCACTGTCCGTGTCAATGTCAGTACGTCTCACTGTCCATGATAATGTCAGTACGTCTCACTGTCCACGATAGAGCCAGTACGTCTCACTGTCCATGATAATGTCAGTACGTCTCACTGTCCATGATAATGTCAGTACGTCTCACTGCCCGTGTCAATGTCAGTACGTCTCACTGTCCATGATAATGTCAGTACGTCTCACTGTCCGTGTCAATGTCAGTACGTCTCACTGTCCATGATAATGTCAGTACGTCTCACTGTCCACGATAGAGCCAGTACGTCTCACTGTCCATGATAATGTCAGTACGTCTCACTGTCCATGATAATGTCAGTACGTCTCACTGTCCGTGTCAATGTCAGTACGTCTCACTGTCCATGATAATGACAGTACGTCTAACTGTCCGTGTCAATGGCAGTACGTCTCACTGTCCGTGTCAATGTCAGTAAGTCTCATTGTCCATGATAATGTCAGTAAGTCTCATTGTCCATGATAATGCCAGTACGTCTCACTGTCCACGATAATGTCAGTACGTCTCACTGTCCATGATAATGACAGTACGTCTCACTGTCCGTGTCAATGTCAGTACGTCTCACTGTCCATGATAATGTCAGTACGTCTCACTGTCCACGATAGAGCCAGTACGTCTCACTGTCCATGATAATGTCAGTACGTCTCACTGTCCATGATAATGTCAGTACGTCTCACTGCCCGTGTCAATGTCAGTACGTCTCACTGTCCATGATAATGTCAGTACGTCTCACTGTCCATGATAATGTCAGTACGTCTCACTATCCATGATAATGCCAGTAAATCTCACTGTCCATGATAGTGTCAGTACGTCTCACTGTCCATGATAATGTCAGTACGTCTCACTGTCCATGATAATGTCAGTACGTCTCACTGTCCACGATAATGTCAGTACGTCTCACTGTCCATGATAATGTCAGTACGTCTCACTTCCCATGATAATATCAGTACGTCTCACTGTCCATGATAATGTCAGGACGTCTCACTGTCGGTGATAATGTCAGCACGTCTCACTGCCCGTGTCAATGTCAGTACGTCTCACTGTCCACGATAATGTCAGTACGTCTCACTGTCCATGATAATGTCAGTAGGTCTCACTGTCCATGATAATGTCAGTACGTCTCACTGTCCATGATAATGTCAGTTCGTCTCACTGTCCATGATAATGTCAGTACGTCTCACTATCCATGATAATGCCAGTAGGTCTCACTGCCCGTGTCAATGTCAGTACGTCTCACTGTCCATGCTCATGTCAGTACGTCTCACTGTCCATGATAATGTCAGTACGTTTTAATGCCAGTCAAAGTTATGGTGACAGTGACGGTCTATTTCCGTCCCTTCTACTTTGACGATATAATAACCCATGTATTTTCCCTGACGTTTATTTGGTGCTGCACGTCGCACACGTGCCTTCGTGCACTAATCTATAGACTTACGTGCAGCTGTCCTTGAAGGCTGTACATGTTGCATTGCCTGCATCGATGAGCGCCTTGTTGGTCAATTTAAAACTTTGCACGCATGTGGTTATCTTTGCATTTCCCACAGTTCCACATTCCCCATTTACAGCAGTCACTGCAAAATATGTTCAGCGTCCGTACGTAAATATTAAGACAATGTATATAGAATATACAATAGATTAAAAGGTGAGTGCAACTTTTCTACATCTTCCCGAGGCAGGTAAGTTAACTGACTTTAAAAGTCAAGTTCCCACCCTTGCCGAACAAGGCTGGTATTATGGAGTTATAGTTTGGCTGGACTAACGAGTCTATGCGTAGTCCAATCAAAATCGCGCAACGAAATCGAAATCCGGTTCGTAAACTGTTGTGCAGATTTCGGTCGATTGCAGGATTTGCAAAGCATGTGCACCGCTAACAGATTGTTTTCAAATCTTTTCATGTTTTGATCAAGGTGCTTACGTAATTTGATGAACTTCGGGCTGTAACACCCGTTTTATCACAATATAGATCTTGCTTATTGGTCAGATCATCTTGACTGGGCGCCGCCATTTTGTTTGAAGCAAATGCAAGTGATGCAAGAGGCAGAATCTGATTGGTCAATAGGAGGGACATTGAAGGGACACAACACAACTAATAACCAGTGGTGGTGCTGCGATGGAGCCGAGAAATTCCAGCCTAGTTCGGCAAGGCTGGAAACTGGACTTTTATTTTTACTTAACTCCCTTGCCTAGGGAAGATGCATATAACCATTATCATATAAAGGCCTGTGTTTTCGGTGCGATAAACCAATCAGATACAACTGATATACTGATCCGATATATGCACAAAGCAAAATGTTAAGCACACCCCTATTTCTGAACCATGACAAATGGCAAAAATCATGGCATGGGATGACTGACCACAGGAGCTGGGCGATACCAATGTCGATACCGATTGTTCGGATTGAACAACCATTTGACAACAAACAAAGAAGATATTGGTGATTTGTGATTGAAATTTACTGACAAAAAAACATCATGGTAACACGGGTACTGTTTTTGACCTTAGACAATATCTAAAAAAATATGGAGCTGCAGGATTAAGTAAACGTGTTACGTTTGATGTTTCATGTGAAAATGTCCCTTAAAGTCTCTACTTGACATGACACGTGAAACCGCCTCATGCCCAGATGACGCATTCCACCTTACGTCTCATGCCTCCAGTCAGACGTTGGATCCGTTGATGGGTCAACAACAACAACTCCTGATGCGATGATGCTTCCAATTGGCGTAAATCTTGTACAGGAGGAGACCGCCTCCGTGGTCTAGTGGTAGAGCGTCCGCCCGGAGAGCGGAAGGTCCGGGGTTCTATACCCGGCCGCGTCATACCAAAAGACGTTAAAAGATGGTACCTGTTGTTACCCTGTCTGGCGCTCGGCATAAAGGGCCTAAAACAAGGACTGGTCGGCTCGGAGTCAGTATACTGTGTCTGAGTCGGGTATTCATGTTAAACTGCGGCATGGTATCTCAGTGAGCTAGCACTATAAATCGGCATCAGTCCGGAGCAGCCACACACACGTGCATACACGTCGCTATATAAGTGCAATAATCTTGGGGCGACATTAAACCCATTTTCATCTCATTTGTACAGGAGGATCTCGTGCCTGTATGCGCCGCCCCAGAATATCCCAAAACCATTTCAAGGGGGTTCAAATCTGGGCTCATTGCTGGCCAGAGTAGAGTCTCGGCGTATGAGACGAAGAAGGTCGTCACAGGAGGTCTTCCGGATCAAGGACGGTCCTGTACATCACCGGTCTGAGCATGTTTCTCGACTTAACGGGCTTACGACAGTGTGATGATACCCCAAATTCCGACCAATGGCATTACAAGACATTCCTGCGTTATGCATGCCGATTATTTGCCATCTTGTGGCGTTTGATAATCGCCTTCGTGCCATGGTCACACAATGTCACGGAATAACTGTTTAACACTGAGCTTAAGAAAGCAATTTCAAGGTTTGGATATACTGCTTTTAGAAATACTCGAGGTTAGTATGCTGCACGGGCATACCATGCATGGCACGTGAGCTTTCATCACGCATGACTGATTACACCATCTCGAGAAAACATAATTTTTCCCGTAATTATATCTTTAATGACTGTTACAAATATTGGGACCCAACAATAATGAAATATATTAGGGTGTGCTTAACTTTTTTCTTTGTGTATATATGCAAATTAGGTCGCCTAGCAGGAACTACTTACTTATTACCTACTTACTCAATGAAGTATTGACTGAGGTTCCGGATACACTTGGAAAGGGGTTCCCAATATGCCGACCAATATGGCTGCTGGTGAGTTGTCAGAACGTCTGATGGTAAGACCCGACAATGCATGTCGAAAAAGGCGACTAACGGGATCGGGTGCATTCGTGACCAACTCGTGTTATTCCGGGACAAGCCGAATAGCGACTCGTGCCCATCACATGGCCATTTTTGCGACCGGGTTCCGTCTTTGCGCAAACGGGCATACCTAAAACAATTGTCAACTCGTTGCGTCATGCTTCACATACATTTCCCCATATATTATATAATAATATATATATTTCAAATGCAATTTAAAGCACATCGGGACGTGCGGAATTATACGGAATAATTGAACACATTTAACTGTGTCTTGGGTATATTTTTAGATGCAAGACATATGTAAAATCAAAAATTATTCCTGTGGGATTCTTTGATGAAGAACGTGAAGTCATACGCGCAATCTGATTGGTTTGTCGCATTTTCGCACATAACATTCATCGATAGGGGGACGAGCCTTCTTGAAGTTTACGGAAAGGGGCGAGTGGTGACGAATGGATCGGTTGGTCAGGCTCGCTGACATGGTTGATGACAGCAGCGGGTTTAATTGTTGATGATGGATGACGGTAGAAAGGGCAGTTGTGTGACAGAACGAATCTTCATCGGCGAGGTAGTTGTTGGTGTTGCGGCGGTCGTAGACCCATGAAGATCCGGGTTAGATTAGGTCTTCAGCAACCCATGCTTGTCTCAAGAGGCGACTAACGGGATCGGGTGGTCAGGTTCGCTGACTCTATGTAGGTGGACTGTAAATAATCTAATCTAGACCAGACAATCCAGTCATTAATATCATGAGCATCGATCAGCGCAATTGGGATACGATGACATGCATCAACCAAGTCAGCGTACCTGACCACCCGATCCCGTTAGTCGCCTCTTTCGACATGCATTGTCGCCATTTACGGCAAGATGGGTTGCTGAAGACCTATTCTATCCCGGATCTTCACGGGTTCACATAATAATATTACATTTATTCCTAATATGTATTATTCATGATACGGAAACACGCTCGGCCAAATTAATCTCTATTTTCATCACATGAAACGAATGAGGTAACAATTTAAATATTACGTTGTTTTAACAAGAACTGGCAGGTAATTTTCGATAAGTTGTCTTTACCATAAAAAAAACCCCTTCTGGTACTTACCGTAGATAATCTGTTAAATATCTCGCACACATCAAAATATTTTTAGGGAAACCCTTTTATACATGGGTCCGATATGAAGAATTTGTAGCTTTAAACGCAAAACCCTACATTCCCATGGACAATCCCTTCGTAACAAGGGTTTAAAATAATTAACTTGAATGAGGTGAAGTGAAATGGGGTTTGACGTCGCGTTCAAGATTATCGCACTTATTTAGCGCTCAGTCACACATTCAGGTTTTTTACTGCCGTCCTTGATTGGACCACTCCCGATTAAAATTTGTCGAAAGTCTGATCAAGGTCCTCTGATTCGTGGCGGGAAATTCACAAACAATCAGATATTGTTCTGGAAACGTCCCGATTCAGCCGTTTCCAGCCGAATTCGTCCCGATTCTCCCGTTCTCACACCGAATCTGATCCTATTTGTATCTTCCGCATGGTAAAAAACGACCGAATCTGTCCCAACAGCGTCCCGATTCTCCCGAATGCGATCCGACAGAGATCAGACAGTGACCGGACAGTGAATCGACAAAGGCGGTCCGCATTCGGCAAGATCTGGACGCAATCTGGACTCAATCGACAAGAAACGCCACTGAACAATTCATGCCCGTTCATCACGACAGCGTCCCGATCCACAGGACACGGTCCAGACAACACAGGACATTGTTACGATTTTGATCCGATACAGCAGAATCTGTCACGACAGTCACGATTGTAATCCGTCTAGACAAAATCAGCTTAGTTTCCCGAATGTTACGGGACGCACCATACTGTCGGGAGTGCTTGGCTGACCTATCTGGACCTGTCCCGAATCCGTAGGACGTATACGACTGCGTTCAGACAATGATAGGACACATTCCAGAACTTGAGGATAGTATACCGACTTTTTCGTTTTTCTTGTCGTAGCGCTGTCTGATCTCAAACTGAGGCCATAATCGGCACTGTGTGAACCTGGCCTTAGCGACGTGCATGCACGTGTATGTGTGTGGCTGCTTGTATTTGTCCGGACTGATGTTGATTTTATAGTGCCAGCCCACTGAGATACCATGCCGCAGTTTAACATGAATACCCCGCTCTGACATAGTATACTGACTCCGAGTCGACCAGTCCTTGTTTTAGCACCTTAATGTCGAGCGCCAGGCAGGGTAACAACAAGTAACGTCTTTTGGTATGACGCTGCCGGAAATCGAACCCCGACCTTCCGCGCAGACGATCTACCACTAGACCACGGATACGTACCACATTTGAATAAATATATACCAGAAAAAGAGTATTACTTACAGTATAGTGCCACACAGGCGAGCGATAAACTCAAAACTTTGGCGGACTGCATGCTGATCGAAGATTACTTTCTTGTCGGGCGTTTATCCAATCTGATTGACACCCATGACAACCGCATCATTATACATAGCCAAACCGGTGTCATCATTCATCTGAACCCTATTAAATATGATCTTCCGATATTATCAAAATAACCGATAATGTCGCTTTTTAACGACATACATGTACGTAATTTTTAGCAGTATTTTAGACATCTATCACGGGGCCGTATGGGTGAAACATGAGTGTGAACAGGGATTCGAACCCATGATCATACGTTTGTCACGCCTAAGGGACGCAACTCTGCACACAGTTTAGCGGCGACCTGCCAAGTTTCATACGTTGAATCAGGTACATCATTTCGTGAAGTTGCGTCACACGGTAACAGTGCACTTTGTCTTATCATCGTATATAAATAGGGATAGAATGACATGGGACATATGCTACCAAGACACCGTTTAGCCATGACTGTCTGATGTTCTGTTACCGCATGGCAACACCTTCTGTATTTAAGCTGTATATTGATTCGTTGTGGTGATATATTCTTTGTCTTGAATGTGGTGTATATGTGTTTCCAAATTGTTGCCATGGGTGAACAATTGATCTATTCCAGAACACGTTGTTTTAGAGTTTTTTCAACACACGTATTTGAATTCGAAATAGGTATTGTTTTCATTCCTACGTTTCTGTTATGGATACGATGACAACATGCTTTATCTCAGTGGATACCTGTGAATACAACTGCTTTATTCTCGGATCGCTGAACTGATGTCACTGTAAAAAGACGTTGTGACATAATCTAAAGGCGACCTTCACTACGGTTGCCGCATCCCGTCACAGTCATCAATTCATCCATAAGCATCTTCTGTTCTCTATGTCACTCATTCTCGGCGATTAAAGATAGAGTGAGTGAGTGAGTATGATTTTACGCCGCTTTTAGCAATATTCCAGCAATATCACGGCGGGGGACACCAGAAATGGGCTTCACACATTGTACCCATGTCGGGAATCGAACCCGGGTCTTCGGCGTGAGGAGCGAACGCTTAAACCACTAGGCTACCCGACCGCCCCGATTAAAGATAGAGCTGTCGGGCAAATAAATGTAAATTGAAACTGTTTTTGATTGTGTCTCTGCGTGTGTTTGTGATGGTGGCCACAGGTGGGGCAGGATACGCTGACCTTTTCGCGAATACCTGGTGTCATCACTATTTAATAGTCATTCATAAACACATGTTCATGAGACAGTCGGACTTGTACAATCGACTCTGCTTTTAGGGACTGGCCATTATTAATGTTAGTATTTCATTGGAAGTATCGCGCTTTGTATGCACGTTACTTATTTTCAATGTTTAATATTTACACTATTGTCAGCTGTTGGTATTTATGTTTATGGAAAGGGCGTCGTAAGTTGTTCCGACTAAGTGACTTGATATGTATACAATAAAAGTAAAAGCAACAACTCCAATCAGATCTCGTGCATTGAGGGCAGATCACGGAAAATTCATGGTATATGCTAGTGTCTGCTCCATTTGAGGTGAGGTTGGGTGAGGTGAGGTGACGTGAAAGAGATTTAACGTAGCGTACAGGATTATTGCTTTGTTTGTTTGTTGTTTAACGCCGCACTCAGCAATATTCCAGCTATATGACGGCGGTCTGTAAATAATCGAGTCTGGACGAGACAATCCAGTCATTGATATCATGAGCATCGATCAACGCAATTGGGATACCATTTCATGCATTTACTAAATCAGCGAGCCTGATCACCAGATCCCGTTAGTCGCCTCTTACGCCAAGCATAGTCAGGGCAAGCATGTGTGTGTGTGTGTGTGTGTGTGTGTGTGTGTGTGTGTGTGTCTGTGTGTGTGTCTGTGTGTGTGTCTGTGTCTGTCTGTGTGTGTGTGTGTGTGTGTGTGTGTGTGTGTGTGTGTGTGTGTGTGTGTGTGTGTGTCACGGCTATTGGAGGCAACAGTGTTCAGCGAGTTGCGCTTCTTAGACCAATGATGCGGTGCCTTAGACCAATGATGCGGTGCCTTAGACCAACGATGCGGCTCTTTAGACCTCTGACGCGGCGCCGTAAGCCAGCCAATGATGCAGCATCATAGACCAATGACGCGGCGCTTTGGATCACTGATGCGGCGCCTTACATTAATGATGTTTCGCCTTAGACCAATGATGCATTACCTTAGTAATCATCTACGTCATTAACAGCAATCGTTCCACAAGGAATTCTGAGAATTTATCAGATTTATTTTTCCCTCACAACAACAAACAACAATATACATCGGTTTGCTAAAGCACTGATCATGTAGTTAATTTCATATAATATTGACACCAAGTACGTTCAGTGGTGGTGCATCAATGACAACGTGGTCTCCGCACACCACAACTCGGATGACAGTGGAATGCCGAGAGGTTTGTAAACAACTGTATATGAGTGGGCCTAGTTGTACTGCTACAATTGCACCTTGTTACAAAGCATTGCTTGAAAGTGATAGGTGAAAACTAAATCCAGAGCCACAGTCATGTTTAGTGCGATGAAGGTTCTCTTTTGAAGCCAAAATAAGCGTGGTTCATGATATTCCGGTGGACTGTGGATCGTGCTGTGCGTGCCTCTCTGCAAAGGAATGAAGAATGCAAGGATTATTGAGTGAGTGAGTGAGTATGATTTTACGCCGCTTTCAGCAATATTCCAGCAATTTCACAGAAGGGACACAAAAAATGGGCTTCACACATTGTGTCCACGTGGAGAATCGAACCCGGGCCGTTGGCGTGACAAGCGAACGCTTTAACCACTAGGCTAACCCATCATATAAAATATACTAAAAATCCAGCAAAGCTAACACCCGCCAACCAGAAATCTACCATCGTGAGTACCAATCCCGGTTCGCTCCGGTTATGTTTCTAGGTTTGTCAGCACGCGTGCTTGTGGGTTCCACCAAATTGGTAAATGTCCTAGACCTGCATCACTTCGGGCTTTCCTCCCGCATTATGCTGACACGTCGTGATATAACGGGAATACTGTTGTGTCAGCCCCAACTCACTAAATGGTGGGTCATTAGGGGAATGCTATTTCTGAAAAAGTGAGTATGGGTTTACAGGTGAAAATTATGAACGCATTTCCACATGGCCCATTGCATTGCATCGATAGTTCAATGTACCGTTTCATCTCAAGTGAATGCAGCGTGGTTTGTTTTGAGTATTCATTGGGGCCAGTTTTCAGAAACGTACCTGATTTTCTTCCAATATTTACAAGCTGAAGATGGTGATTATGCATGTGATGAGCAGTGTGAAGCTGGTCACCAGGGCAGTGGCACCTACAAATACGACGAAATGAACAAATAAAGTGATATGGTACTTGAACTGGTCTATAAATTTCACCGAATGTGCGAATTTACAATTACCTAGAAGCGAAAGTAATATCAGAAAATGTGGGACCCCGGTAATATTTGAACTCGTCTGTCAATTTTCACCGAGTGTGCGAATTTACAATTAACTAGAAGTGAAGGTAAAATTAGAAAAAAAGTGGGTAATATTTGAACTCTATTAATTTTCACCGATTGTGCTAACTTCACATGATCTAGAAGCGCCAGTACAATCAGGAAATGTGAGAAGATATATCTTTCTTTCTATAATATTAAACAAATATAAAAAATATAATAGGTAACCAAAACAGAATCTCTTACAAGTACAGTTCAAATAATTTCAAGATACACATACCTCCACACAAGTTGTACAGTTCCACGTGTGTACACTCAATATTTTGTTCCTCTGCAATCACAAAAGATAAAAATCATGAACACCGATTATATGATACCACACTTAAAAATGAACCACATGCATGTACACACCCAATGTTACTATCTTGGAACATTTTCACTATATTCACTACATGTAATATTCAAAACATTTCTCAAGTAATAATAGTCATCGGTACTTTTAGACTTTTCAAAGCATAGTCAGGAATGGGAGCGAGTTTATAACTAGCGCCGCAAAGCTCAAGAAAGCTGCTTTCTTAGCGGATAATGTTGAGGGACAGAGTGAGGGAACAGATTTAAGGGATAGAATGATGGAACAAAATCCAAACTGCAGAGTGACGGAACAGATTTAAGGGATAGGAAGAGGAAACATATTTAAGGGATAGAGTGACGGAACAGATTTAAGGGACAGAGAGAGGGAACAGATTTAAGGGATAGAGTGACGGAACAGATTTAAGGGACAGAGAGAGGGAACGGATTTAAGGGATAGAAAGAGGGGACAGATTTAAGGGACAGAGTGACGGAACATATTTAAGGGACAGAAAGAGGGAACAGATTTAAGGGATAGAAAGAGGGGACAGATTTAAGGGATAGAAAGAGGGGACAGATTTAAGGGACAGATTTAAGGGACAGATTGAGGGAACAAATCCAAGGGGCAGAGTGACGGAACAGATTTAAGGGACAGAGTGAATGAACAGATTTTAAGGGACAGAAAGAGGGAACAGATTTAAGGGATAGAAAGAGGGAACAGATTTAAGGGATAGAAAGAGGGGACAGATTTAAGGAATAGAAAGAGGGGACAGATTTAAGGGATAGAAAGAGGGGACAGATTTAAGGGACAGATTTAAGGGACAGATTGAGGGAACAAATCCAAGGGGCAGAGTGACGGAACAGATTTAAGGGACAGAGTGAATGAACAGATTTTAAGGGACAGAAAGAGGGAACAGATTTAAGGGATAGAAAGAGGGAACAGATTTAAGGGATAGAAAGAGGGGACAGATTTAAGGGATAGAAAGAGGGGACAGATTTAAGGGATAGAAAGAGGGGACAGATTTAAAGGACAGATTGAGGGAACAAATCCAAGGGGCAGAGTGAGGGAACAGATTTAAGGGACTGAGAGAATGAACAGATTTAAGGGATAGAATGAGGGAACAGATTTAAGGGATAGAATGAGGGAAGAGATTTGAGGGACAGGGTGAGGGAACAGAATTAAGGGACAGAGTTAGGGAACAGATGTAAGGTACAGAGTGAGTGATACATACTTAGCATCCTGTCATAGTCCGCTCCGCAGCCTTCGGGGTAGCCACCAAAGTCAGCACACCCCTTCATGACGCCGTAGGATCTGGAGAAACCAAGATATGATTGTTCCTTCATTGATGACCACATACAATTTGCAATGCTTCATCCGCATGTTCAAATGAATGACAAGATGTAATTAAACATTCCAAAGCTCCAGAAGACGTTTCGACGAGCTCCATGTCAAGATTCTGTTTACTGGTTTCGCTGCAACACGTTAATTAATAAGAATGCAAATTAATTTACAGCTGAGTCCCTAATGTGCTTGTTAGCGTCAGGAGTTGTTTGGAACTTACATGGCATCCGGCCATATACATAAATTAGCTACACAAAAGATGGTGAAATCCATGATGTGTGATATTCCAGTCATATCACGGCGTGTCAGCTTGATGTGGGAGGAAAGCCCGAGGTGATGCAGGTCTCTGACGTTTACCACTTCGGTGAAACCCTCGAGCACGGGTATGGTGCTGACAACCCTAGAAACATAATCAGGGCGAACCGGGAACCCACAATCATAGGTTTCTGGCGTGTCAAAGGGACGCAACTCTGCACAGCGAATCGCGGTGCCTTAGACGACTGGGCCACTCGTGAAGATCCGGGTTAGAATAGGTCTTCAGCAACCCATGCTTGCCATAAATGGCGACAATGCATGTCGAAAGAGGCGACTAACGGGATCGGGTGGTCAGGCTTGCTGACTTGGTTGATGCATGTCATCGTATCCCAATTGCTCGGATCGATGTTCATGATGTCAATGACTGGATTATCTGGTCAAGACTCGATTATTTACAGACCTCTGTCACGTAGCTGGAATATTCCTGAGTGCGGCACCAACAGGCACCAAGTATTTACTTACTTGCAGCTATCCTTGAAGATGTCCGTTGGGCAGGTGGTGTTGCCAGCATCGATACGCTCCTTACGTTGATCACGGTTACCTAAGTTGGCCGTTGAAAATGCCGTCACGCATGCCCCAAGCTTAACCTTTGATAAACTTCCACATTCTGCATCGACGGCAGCAACTGAAAAATACAAGATACCCTGATATTGACAATAACAAAAGACACCCATTGTGTCACAAATCAAGCGCCCACCAAGGGCCCACATATGACGTGTCACGTGACAATGCAAGCCGGGTAATACGGAGTATACCTGCAGTGTTCCCCAAACTCAGCACCGATCACATGCAGCTATATAAAATGTCCACACATTATTATCATTGTAGTCAAATGTCTAATGTGAGTGAGTGAGTTTAACGCCGCTTTTAACGGCATTCCAGTTATATTAGCTTGTGGACGAAAACCCAAAGTGATGTAGGTCTCAGACATTTATTTTTTTGGTGAAACCCACGATCACGGGTATGGTGCTGACAAAACTAGAAACATAATCAGGGCGAACCAGGATGCGAACCCACGGTCATAGGTTTCTGGTGTTCCCAAGGGACGCAACTCTGCACAGCGAATTGCGGCGCCTTATACGACTGGGCCACCCGTGTCCTCGGTAATTAGGAAGATTTTTATTAATCAAATATCATAATTACTCACACGCTGTAACATAAACGCTTATTCTTTTTTGTAGAAATACACTGTCACAAGAAGACTCATGTCTAAAAAATAAGTGTCAAGATGAAACACTTCGAATACACTGACAACGCACGTATCGACATGTACTTACATGCCCCGAGGGATTTTTAACAAAGCAGAGCACGGCGCTTGTAGGTGTGCACTCATGCGGTGAGGTGAGGTGAGGTGAGGTGAGGTGAGGTGAGATGAAATGGGGTTTTACGTCGCGTCCGGGATTATTGCACTTATATATCGACGTGCATGCACGTGTGTGTGTGTGTGGGGCTGCTTGGACTAGTCCGGATTGATATCGATTTATAGTGTTAGTCCACTGAGATACCATGCCGCAGTTTAACATGAATACCCCACACTGACACAGTATACTGACTCCGAGCCGACCAGTCCTTGTTTTAGCCCCTGAATGCCGAGCGCCAGACAGGGTAACACCAAGTACCATATTTTAACGTCTTTTGGTATGACGCGGCCGGGGATCGAACCACGGACCTTCCGCTCTCCGTGCGGACGCTCTACCACTAGACCACGGATGCGATCTCATGCTTTGAGACTCCAATGACTATGAATGTATGGAACTGTCTAAAATGTAACATTTGTGCGAATAGAGTCAACCGAGTTAACCGCATTTCCAGCAACCAGGGTTAACTAGATTCAACCTGAGTTAACCGGTGCCTACTCAAGGATAACTTAGGGCAATACCCGAAATAAAACGCATACAAAGTAACCTCAGATGTAAAACAAAATGGCGGCCAGGAGAATGCGAAACACGATCACAATACGTAAACGTATACAGTAATAAACGGCGAGGAGTGCAATAGAGATCACGTCTTTTAACGGACCCTTGAAGATCCGGGGTCTTCAGCAACCCATGCTTGTCGGATGAGGCGACTACCGGGATCGGGTGGTCAGGCTCGCGGACATGGTTGATGCATGTCATCGTATCCCAAATGCGTTGATCGATGCTCATGATGTCAATGACTTGATTGTCTGGTCAAGACTTGATTTTTTTGCAGACCGCCTTCATATAGCTGGAATATTGCTGAAAGAGGCGTTAAACACAAAGCAAACAAACACGCGTTTTTACGAGGATATTGTTTTCTATCGGAATATAGCTGAATTCAGTTTCAGAAGTCATCGACGAATGTTATGAACAGGAATTTAAGTTTTGATTCACTCATCCCACGCAATATCAGCCATGTCATCTTAACTGTTGAAATATGGGGGAACCCGCATCTTCCCGAGGCAAGGGAGTTAACTGACTATAAAAGTCTAGTTTCCACCCTTGCCGAAATAGGCTGGAATTTCGTGGCTCGATTGTAGCGCCACCAGTGGCTATTATGAGTTATGTCCCTTCTATGTCCCATCTGTTGATCAATCACCTCTCATAACACTTGTTAGTGCTTTAAACAAAATGGCGACCCCCTGTCAAGGCGATCTGATCGATAATCAATATCTATACCGTAATAAAACGGGTTTTACCTCGCGAAGTTTATTTAACCTGAACACCTTGATTAACACCATGACATAATTTGGCAATTATCTGTCGACTCCCAGTTCACGGTACACATATTTTGCAAATCCTGCAGTCGACCGAAACCTGCACATTGGAATCCATGTTGATTACGAACCGCTTGTCCAGTTCTATACTCGATTTTGGTTGGACTCGTTAGTCCAGCCAAAATATAATTCCGGAATTTCCAGCCTAGTTCGGCAAGGGTGGAAACTGGACTTCTATGATCAGTAAACTCTTGCCTGGGGAAGATGGGGTACCCGAGGATACATATATATATATGTGTGTGTGTGTGTGTGTGTGTGTGTGTGTGTGTGTGTGTGTGTGTGTGTGTGTGTGTGTGTGATGTTACAAACTGTGTGTCAGATAATTGTTTTTAATTTCCCAAACGAGAGAGGGTCCTGAAGGTGAAGCCGACATTGCGTCAACGATAATACGATGTGACGTCATTGAAACATTACGTCAACAATGCAGCCTGCATCAGGTCAAGGGTGGTCTTTGCATTACGTCAATGACAATGTAAAAAGCCCGAAATATTTTTTCACGCGATGTGCTTCGTGTGGATTTTTATCACATGATGGGTAGGTTTCCCTACAGGAGAAAGACAACGGGTAAAAACGCTATCCTTTGAGGTCATTTACGGATAATGATCCAAATATAGAAGGTCAGGTAGGTACTACGTTCAGTGTTTGCAAACAAATGTAGCGTCGTTCTTGTCTATGGGCGATCGAGTTAGAATTGACAATCAGGGATCTGCACAAATTACTGCTAGGATATTTGTTATCATCAATATAATAGTCTAAGATTCCGAACACCGGTATCTAAAAGAAGCGTAGCTGAGGCCTTTCACAAATGTGGGCATCTTTGGGGATATAAGTTGCGAAGAAATTTAGCGAGGACGGTTGGGATATTTATTCTTGTACCTTTGCGTTTAAACCTCCACAGCTGAGGGTACTTTCACGAATTATTAACAGATTGATTTGGCCGAATATTGCCGAATTTTTCTTGTTTCGTTTTGTCGCTGTGTGTGTGGGGGATATCTGACTGCATATCACAATCCCATAATGACTGCCCGTCACACTCTCACAAACGTGACGTTTGATAAGGGCAATTACTCAAGACGGATTGCCCCGAAAGTTGAAATATTATCTGTAGGCAAAAGTCTTTGTGCCTACATGGTAGACTTTAGGCCAATGTATAAAGACAATATTCAATTTGATTCACATGTGTATTGACTGTTGTCACTGTCCGACTGAAAAATCACTGACATTGTGACGTAATGTATCAATGGTCCCATTTCACGAAAAAAAACTTGCAATGTTTAGGTACACTATCATGTATGCAAGGCTCGCTACATATAATGTTTATTCTTAATGCAGGATATTTTCCATCCCAAAACATACAAGTGTGATAACCTGTATTTCGCCTCGCAGTGATGACAACAAAAGTCCCTATAATATTCGGGTTCTATCAAAATATGACCGCCTCCGTGGTCTAGTGGTAGAGCGTCCGCACTGAGAGCGGAAGGTCCGGGGTTCGATCCCCGACTGCGTCATACCAAAAGACGTGAAAGGTGGTACTTGTTGTTACCCTGTCTGGCGCTCGGCATTCAGGGGCTAAAACAAGGACTGGTCGTTTCGGAGTCAGTATACAGTGTCTGAGTGGGGTATTCATGTTGAACTGCGGCATGGTATCTCAGTGAGCTAGCACTATAAATCGGCATCAGTCCGGACTAGTACAAGCAGCCACACACACACGTACATGCACGTCGTTATATAGGTGCAATAATCTTGGACGCGACGTTAAACCCCATTTCACCTCACCATCTATCAAAATATAGAATTGTCACGCCCTGATAGCCTCTGGGCTGCTCGTTCGACTGGTGGCCTAACGCCCAGATAGCGCGGCTGGTTCAGGCGGTGTCTGGGTGAGAGTCACTACACCACATTGTACTTCAGACAGTCACGGTAAGAGAATCCTTTCCAACCATGGAGAGCAAGGCAAAACCCACGTTGAAAGTGTCCCTTTTTGTAACGTGGCATCTTTTGAGTTTCATGTTTCTCATCGCCATACGCATTGTATAGCCGTCCGAAAAGGAAATAATAAACTGATTTAGGAAAAGCCGACTAAAACACAATATAAGTTTAAAACGTTTTACTTCAGATGGTGCATTCTGCACCGGGGCTCTTTTTCAAAAAGTGAAAATTTTCAGAAAAGTCTTTTTTGAATTCATTATAAAACAAGGTGACTCACGTTAAGACCTGTGCTAGGGGGGTACTCCGTCAAATGCGAACTCCCATACAGTGGTAGGCGTTTCCATCTGATATCTCTGGCGTATGGGTCTATTTCGTTCGGAGCAAATATTTGAAGCTTCAGAAGATGCAATTGCTTTATATATTCTAAAAGTAAGTTTGATGGACACAGTTGGACAGCGTACTTGACAATAACTACCACTATACAAGAAGATAAATTCCACAGATGTCCAGCAAAATACATATAAGTATATTATTTGATAACGTGCAATATATTTGCCTACAATAACCCAAACCAATCTCTAAATATATACAATGATATACAAACAACGAAACATTATCTGGTACTATACTTAGGCAAAGTGCACTATTTGTCCCTTGTGCAGGATTTAAGTTTCAAATTTGAAATTGAAACAAACCTTCATCATTTTGGTATATTTTTCATTCGATTGAAAAATACATTTTAAAATTTGTGTAACCAGTACAAGTACTGTTTAACTTCAACATCTTCTGCTGTTTGTGACGTTTCCTAAGTATATAGATAAACATTCGTGCAAACAAATAAATAACAGATGATTGGTTTACTTACTGTATAGTACCAAACAGATCAACGAGACACCAAGGACTTTGGTAGCAGACATTTTCTATCCGTGCTTGAGTACCTGGTAGGCGAAAGTTTGCTGAATAAGTTTTACCCAGCACACCCGCATCACTTTATATACTAACCGGTGTCATAGAATAAAAGACCCCTATTTCAAATGGTCATCATGATAGCCAAACTACGGTGTTTGAATGGAATAATTTATTATACATTCCAATAGTTCACTATCCATGTTATCAAAAAACGGCAGGTAAAAGAATAAACTCATTATTTTGTAAGATATAATCGAGGGAATCGTGAATTTTTCTATTTCGTTTACGAATGAATTATGTTCTATACTTTTAGTCAACACACCGGTCGAAGCCCCCTGGCCATCCTGTAGTTATTTCACGTTCTTCCCGACCTACTTTTACTGTAAACAATGTAATATGATTGTTTGTATAAACATACGCAATCTTTGTATGTTAGTTATGCCACAGAGACCGGACCAGACAGTACGTAGGATTCTCGAAATACAAACATTTGCATCCTGAAGTGATGCGGATAAGATAACAGTGTGTCGTAATGCCAGGTGTGTAGAAAGAGGTTAACATAGAGTCAGGTGCAAAGTAGTGCTGGGACGATTCCAAATGTACTGCCCGGGTACCCGACACCCCATTACCCGACCCTACCCGGACACCCGCTATAGGCCTCGAGAGTTGGGTACAAAATGTCTTAATGGGGATTGTTTTAACGCAGCCCTGGCAAAAAACTATTTAGATACATGTATAAAACGATCTGGTCATGTATACACTGTAGTTGATAGACGCTTTATCCTTACTCGAACATATAAAGGTCAGAACGAATGCTTGCATAGTGAGAAAGAAATGTGAACATTAGCTATACTTGTAGTGTAACCATTGAGTCTTATGGTTGATGTCATTATTTTAAAACAGTATGTCACGTGACTAACCACGGGTGCGGGTAGGACCAACCCGACCCGAGTGCTCGAGTTACCCGTCCCAGCCCTAGTCCAAAGCATTGGGCTTGGATGAACTGTGAAACAGTTTCACCTGGGAATGGACCAATAATTATATAAATGTACAGTTGAACCTCGATAACCCGGACGGCACTGTTCAAAGGAAATCGTTCTGATTAACCGATGATGGTAGGGAGTGATGATGCTTCAATATGTTGAACTCCCCAATACAATCGTTCTGATTAACGAATCATTGATAGGGAGTGATGTCCCCCCGATATATAGATACTTCCCAATTCGATCGTTCTGATTAACAAATCATATACAGGGAGTGATGTCCCTCCGATATATAGATACTTCCCAATTCGATCGTTCTGATTAACAAATCATATACTGGGAGTGATGTCCCTCCGATACATAGATACTTCCCAATACAATCGTTCTGATTAACAAATCATATACAGGGAGTGATGTCCCTCCGATATATAGATACTTCCCAATACGATCGTTCTGATTAACAAATCATATACAGGGAGTGATGTCCCTCCGATATATAGATACTTCCCAGTTCGATCGTTCTGATTAACAAATCATATACAGGGAGTGATGTCCCTCCGATACATAGATACTTCCCAATACGATCGTTCTGATTAACAAATCATATACAGGGAGTGATGTCCCTCCGATACATAGATACTTCCCAATACGATCGTTCTGATTAACAAATCATATACAGGGAGTGATGTCCCTCCGATATATAGATACTTCTCAATTCGATCGTTCTGATTAACAAATCATATACAGGGAGTGATGTCCCTCCGATATATAGATACTTCCCAGTTCGATCGTTCTGATTAACAAATCATATACAGGGAGTGATGTCCCTCCGATACATAGATACTTCCCAATTCGATCGTTCTGATTAACAAATCATATACTGGGAGTGATGTCCCTCCGATACATAGATACTTCCCAATACGATCGTTCTGATTAACAAATCATATACAGGGAGTGATGTCCCTCCGATACATAGATACTTCCCAATTCGATCGTTCTGATTAACAAATCATATACTGGGAGTGATGTCCCTCCGATACATAGATACTTCCCAATACGATCGTTCTGATTGACAAATCATATACAGGGAGTGATGTCCCTCCGATACATAGATACTTCCCAATACGATCGTTCTGATTAACAAATCATATACAGGGAGTGATGTCCCTCCGATATATAGATACTTCCCAGTTCGATCGTTCTGATTAACAAATCATATACTGGGAGTGATGTCCCTCCGATACATAGATACTTCCCAATTCGATCGTTCTGATTAACAAATCATATACAGGGAGTGATGTCCCTCCGATACATAGATACTTCCCAATACGATCGTTCTGATTAACAAATCATATACAGGGAGTGATGTCCCTCCGATACATAGATACTTCCCAATACGATCGTTCTGATTAACAAATCATATACTGGGAGTGATGTCCCTCCGATACATAGATACTTCCAAATACGATCGTTCTGGTTAACAAATCATATACAGGGAGTGATGTCCCTCCGATACATAGATACTTCCCAATACGATCGTTCTGATTAACAAATCATATACTGGGAGTGATGTCCCTCCGATACATAGATACTTCCAAATACGATCGTTCTGGTTAACAAATCATATACAGGGAGTGATGTCCCTCCGATACATAGATACTTCCCAATACGATTTCGGATTTCAACACACGAGCCAAACGTGTAACCCTAACTCACCTATATAATAAGGTAATATGTTATAAGGTCAGGGCGTACAGCCGTAGGAGGTATCACTGTTGGAACTTGATTTACAGGTTCTGCCAGTTCACATAAATATCACATTACCAACCCTTATATACATGTTGCTTGGTATCAAATTGTATAGCTGATTTCTGTGAATCACAAACAACTATCTTCAAACTCGGCCGCCATGTTGTAAGAACTATATATGCGGAGGGATCAGTCGGTATGTGCTGTAAAGTGCGGTCATGCAATATCCCTACTTCTCGCTGTCCGATGTACAATGTTAGTAACATAGCCGAGTGAGCCCTGATGCGACAGAGAAGGGTGTGCTGGTTGAACGCGTCATTTTGTGGCCCTAGCTTTCGAGGTATGTCGGTTGACGGGATTCTGTTTACCTTAACCATGGACCCTAAATATATCGTATTGAGTGTCATGCCTCAACGAGCAATGTGGCGGTGGTCGACTCTCATAGGCTGTGATTGGACGACAGAAAAGATCCATCCATTGGTCTTCGTTATCCAATGAAAACAAATAGCGTCAGAAGTTTGTTTGTGGGGGCGCGGTGGCTGTAGTACTTGTACCCCACTCTAGGGGTATTTTGGACCATTAATATAAAATATATTTGATTAAAAAAGTGTCTTGGAGGATTTCAGTTAACACGTTTATTAGTTTAAAAATGATATTGATAATGGATAGGGGATAATTTAATGTTGTTTACGTTTTCTTTTCATAGGCAACCATCATGATATATCCAATGTAATGTATGTCATTCAAGCTCTGTTTCTTGACTTTGCTTGAGTTCGGTAACGGATTTCTTGGACCGAAACACGTTTTGAGACCACTCGACACAAACCAAGATTCCCATACAAGAAAAAATACCGGAATTTTATAGAAAAGTGTAACCATTTTGGATACAGAAAAAAATGAAAAAGTGGTAAACACGTGTTATCTACCATTTTACTTCTAATTTTGTTGCTACGCCAAATAGTTCTACTCCTTTGTCCACTGCTAATACTTTGAGGTGCACGTGTCAGTGGCGGAGTGTACGGTGCCAGAAATAATGAAGGTCGAGGGGTGTGTATAAGGCGATGCGAATGCCTCCGTGGTCTAGTGGATAGAGTGTCTGCTCGAAGAGCTGCAGGTCTGTGGTTCGATCCCCGGCCGCATCGCACTAAATCGTGAACACAACGTTGAACCCCACGTCACCTCACCACATCTAAGGCGATGCAATTCGCTGTCCAGAGTTTATTCGCTTGGGCTTGTCAGCTAGCACCGTTCCTGGGTTCCAATTCAAGATTCGTCTGATTATGTTCGTAAGTTAAGCAGGTTAACGTAGGTTTTGCGAGTTTTACCCAAGGGCTCCCTTCCCTTATCAAGCCGAACTAATAACACATATAACTGAGATACTGTTCGAAGCTGCCTTAAATCAAATCATTGCATGCACACACTGGAAGGGCTGCAATATTTGGAAACTTTAAGGTAAACTTGACTTATGGTCAGCTATGGTCATCTTCCCGAGGCAAGGGAGTTAACTGGCAGTCAAAGTCCAGCTTCCACCTCTGCCAAATTAGGCTAGAATTAACAGGCTCGAACCTAGCGCCACCAGTCGCTGTTACGAGTTGTGTGTCGTCTGTATCCCTCCTATTGACCAATCAGATTCCATCTCACATATCACTTGCATTTGCTTCAAACAAAATGGTGGCGCCCAGTCAAGACGATCTGATCGATAATCAAGATCTATATTGTAATAAAACGGGTCTTTCCCTGCAAAGTACATCAACTCACTTTGATTAAAAACATGAAAGATTCATAAGATATCTGTCGACGCCCTGTTGACTATACACATGCTTTGCAAAACATGCAGTGACCGAAGCCTGCATGTTGAAATCCATGTTGTTTACGAACCGGATGTCTAGTTCGTTACATGATTTAGAGTGAATAATGCATAAACTCGTTTGTCAAGTCTAAATGTGACTCCATAATTCCAGCCTGGTTCGGCAAGGGTGGCAATTGGACTTTCACAGTCAGTTAACGCCCTTGCCTCGGGAAGATGAGTAATGGCATGCAAGACAATCATGACTATTGTAAGTTTATTAATATTTGTTTTATTTCTCAACAAGCAATAAAATGTATACATGTATTTCACAAGCTAACAGGCAATGGTGAAAGTCGTACAATGAGAATACATGAAGAGTAATTGGACACGCAACGTTAAGCCAAAACGTTAAACCAAATCTCTCTCTTCAACTTACGTTCTAAATATTATAAGGTCATGTATTCGACGACAGATTAATATTGACAGTTTTTATATGAGCGCTTAAAGGTCAGGAGTGGTGAGTAGCTTCAAAGACAGGACATCTCAGCAACTTCCAACACACTCCGTCAAATATGGCCGTTAAAGAGGAACTAGGCTCGGCTGGCGGTCCTAGAAAGATTCACCAGTTAATGATTACACACAAAACTTCCTTGGTTCAAAAGTGGCACTTAGAACGTGTGGGCAAAGACAATCAACTAGAATCTGCAATGAACATATCTTACACAAAAAAACAGTTGCTAAATTATCGTAATAAAAACATAATAAAATTTAAAGGAACCAAAGACTCTCTTCATTTCCAGATATTGCAGTAATCTAGACTTGCCAAACATTATAGACTTGCATGGGCTGTATTGGATATATTTGTATCAGGGTCTGTAAGACAGACCAGGCCAAGGCTGTGAATGAGGACACGACTAAGAAACAAAGTCCCTCTTCAAGTTGAATACGACATACTAAATAAATGTTAAATGTACACGCGTACAACTAGATAGAAGCAATATTACTCACGCAACTATAGGACAGGCCGAAACATTGTTAGTAACAACATTAACATATTATTTCTTGGAGCATAACCTTTCGCCATCATATACACCAGTTGTTTGAAATTTGGAAGTTTGCCCAAAGTGTCTAGACGTAAGAATGCAGCTCGTAACATCATCGAATTCTATGCGTGTGGCACGCTTCAGTTTTTAGCGTGATGACGCCATTGGTCAGCAGGTCATCTTAATGGTCACCCATGTCAATTTTGCGGATCTAAAGATGTCTTCATTGTTGAGTTTTCGAGTGAGTACGGTGTGCTGCAAGTAGAACGATATTCAGTTGACAGGTAAACACTAAAAAGTCTATGATTTATCGTGTAGTAGACGCACACACGCACACGCACACGCACACGCACGCACACGCACGCACACACATACGCACGCACACAAGCGCGCCCACACACATATACAACCAAATACACATACACATTAACATACACACGCACGCACACACACACACACACACACACACACACACACTCTCTCTCTCTCTCTCTCTCTCTCTCTCTCTCTCTCTCTCTCACACACACACACACACACACACTTGTCATACCCCATTTATATAAGATGCCTGTCGTTCTCATGTGGGCATTAATTAGACTGTAAGGTTTCTTTTTTCTATCAACAATATTTGCTTGGAGGAAAAGTTCATGCATATATCTTTTGGTGAAATCCACAAGGTATGGTGCTGACAAACCAAGGATCATGGGTTTCGAACCCATGACCAAATGATGCTGACACAGCTGCGACAATACGAATTGCGGTACCATCTTTCATTGGAACACCCGTGACCCTATGCATACGCGGACTTACAATCACGAGTGCATACAGTCTATATATCTTACAAATTTACATGTACTAACCTTTAGCTAGAACTTGACAATGGCCAGCAGTGCTGTGATCACAAACAGGGCCAGGTTGAAGGTAAGTCCAGACGCACCTAGAACAAAGAAAGAAGAGACCAAAAAATGTAATATATATTGAGAATCTATCTATTCAGTTAAGTTATTAAACAAGACCGTCTTTCATGAATCATTCGTTACGATATAAGACGCTGTATTCTCCGTGTGGTGTCTCCATTGGCAAGTGACATTGTTCGAAATGTGCCTCTGTTCACCCAGCAGTGAATGGGTACCCGGTAGGATGAGGTCGTTCACCTTCTGGCGCCTAACAGGCAGCCTGTGTTGCATTGATGAGTGCACACTGATGCAGTGACCGGGCTAATAATAGCGCCTTGAGCATGCCCCTGTGTGGTGTGGAAATAGGCGCAATATAAAAGACACATTATTATTATTTACACATTAAAATATAAAAATGCAGCAAAGAGGGTTTGGATGATCCTGGCACAGTCAGGCTGGTTAGGCTCATCATCAGCTCAGGGCCATTACCCCCTCTACAAGCAGCCCAGACAGCGGATGGGACTTTTCCCAGCAAGCGATGCCTAGTCAAGCCCACCCAGAACTTTTCGGAGAATGTGAAGACTCCCCAGCACTGCAGCCTTCTGCATTACCCAGATTGTCAGAAGGGCTGTATTCCTGGTAGCAAACCCGGGTACTCTCCCAATGGCAGTCAGCAGATTGGGAGGTACCAAACCTAAGCCACCGAGAACAATGGGGAGTCGGACAACTTGGTACTTGGGATGCAAGCATGACATTTCGAAAGCGAAATTTAAGCACTTACCATGATGCTTTAAATACAAGCTGATTAAAGTGACATAATGACATTATCATGTAACTCAATAAACTCATGCAATGATGTATGTCTTACCACACATGGTTGCTTTGACCACTTCATCATAAGTGCACGCGATGCCTTCATCCACTGAAAAACAAATATGAAGATGAAGCTCATTTAGCTCAAGGTCCAGTCTTAGATACACTACTGTTCAAAAGCAATGCTCCCTCGATAGGGACTGGAGCTCTACAATTCCGCTCGTTGGGCGCGATTGTTGGTATGTAAAACTGTGTACCACTTGTCACCACAAAGTAATCAACGAGCTATAGCAGTGTATTTCATGGGCGCTAAATAAACTACCAACATAATGGTAAAACAGTCCCATTAGAAGCACACTGGAACTTTTTGCCAACACACTACAACTTCATGCACTTTTCTTCCTTTCGAAATGAAACATACGTATACGAAAGACACTTACTCAGTTCTTTGGAAATCTTTGTCTTGCATTCAGCGGAACTCGTCGCATCCTCTCCGAGGTTGAGGCAAGTTTTGAAAACTTTGAAAGCACTGAATGACAATGGTGAAACATTAAACGGGGAATGTGGATGCAGTCAGAGGAAACAGATACAGCTGAAGTGATTGTGAACTGAGCAAATTTAGTACATCAATTATGAAATAATTAACACCATGGTACTGCTCAAAATCAAAACAGCTCCAAAATAGAGCAATCTCATTAAAATCGGATCTCAGCTTTCGCTGGCGCTCAACAAAGATCTGAGGACATCCCATTATGGGTCACGTCAGAACGACCTTGCGCGAACTTTGACTGACCACTGAAATGAAGTCGACATCAGCCAATCAGAAAGCAGCTTTCTCGAGCTTTACGGCACTCGTTTCAACCTGGCGACTTCCATTTCAGACTACTCTTGAAAAATATGTTGACACAGTTCTCGGTTAAAAATGTTTGAAAACTGACCAAACGAACATTCCGGAATGCCTAATATATGGTTGAGATTGTACGGTAGTGCTTCCCACGTACTGTGCAATGCCTCCTCCGTTTAAATGTTTATCCCACGGAAACGAGAGATAGACGATAATTTTGACGGAATCAGTCGTACGGGCCGTAACTGTCGTTCGGAATACACCGTGTTAACGTGTTCGAGGTTGCATGATTAGAAAACACATTCCGACTGTCACTTTCATGATCTGGTAAGCGACGCTTTGATTGGTCGGATGAAAGGTCGTTCTGACTCAGCTCAATCGAACAGCTGTTTTCTATCAATTTCAATCTCATTAAAATCAGATATTAGTTTTCGCTACCTCCAAACAAAGATCTGAGGATATCCCATTACGGGTCACGTCAGAACGACCAATGAAATGACTGACAAGAAATCGACATTAGCCAATCAGAAGGCAGCTTTCTCGAGCATTACGACACTAATTTCACATTGGCGACTACGCTTCGAAAAATATTTTGACGTATTCTCGATTATAAAAATTAAAACTGATAAGAATTACATTCTGGAATGGCTTATAGATGGCCTAGATTGTAATGGATATAATCATAAAACCTGCAACTGTCGTTCAGAAGACCCCGTGTTAAATATTTCGTGGTTGCATGATTAGAAAACACATTCCGACTGTCACTTTCATAATCTGGTAAGCGGCGCTCTGATTGGTTGGATGAAAGGTCGTTCTGACGTGACCCGTAACGGGATGTCCTAAGATCTTTGATAAGCGATAGCGAGAACTAAGATCTGATTTTAATGAGATTGAAAAAAAAAGTTGCCAGATTCATAAAATGCAAATGAAGAGTTAGTAGACAAAAATGTTTTTGGATGACTTGAATCAATCAAGCCAAGTTACCATTTAACGGCCTGATTTGACGGAATGTGTTAGAAGTTTCTGATCTTTCATCTTTAATGTTAATTTGTCAAAATTGTTTTTAAACATGACTTTATATTCTTGGAAACCCAACACTACTGGAGCTTCAACTTTCATGTTAAAGTGTTATAATATTGTAAACGAAAGAAGTCATCATGGGGTGTAACATATGCCAATGAACAATGCCATAAGCTGGTATTGCGAAAATGAAATTTAAAGCATTTTGAATTCTTATAAAGCTCTCGGTAAAGGGTGAAAACGTCCCCGGTCAACATCAACTGTGAGTACATACAAACACTTCCCCTTCAGTTGATCTTTGAGGCAGGCTGTGTTATTTTTCGCATTTGAATTGGCTACAACATACGCCTTCACACATGCATCTATCTTTGTATCGCTCGCTTGGCACTCCGCGTCTGCCGTGGTATCTGGAAGTAAATTATACTTTATCAAAAACAATCTATGTCTAAGGCGCCGGATTGCAGAGTTGCGTCCCTTGGGCCAGAAACCTATGATCATGGGTTCCAATCCCGTTCGCCCTAATTATGTTTCTGGGTTTGTCAGCACCATTCCCATGTTCGTGGATTTCACCAAAATGGTAGACGTCCGAGACCGGAGTCACTTCGGGCTTTCCTCCCACATTAATCTGAAAGTCGTTAAACAACTGGGATATTGTTCAAAGCGGCGTTAACCCAACTCACTCACTCACGCAATCCGTTCAACAGACATTTCTAATCCTTTCGTTTGTGAAGGATCAATCACAACAATCACTCACGTCATCACATTAGGATTATGGGTTTGAATAACAGACTTGCCCTCAGTGTGGTCCTTGGCTGGATGATTAGAGACGGTTGGTAGTGCCAAGATTGGCTGGAAGATTAGAGACGGTTGGTAGTGCCAAGATTGGCGTTCAAGAAGACTGCGTGAGTATTGTTTTACGCCGCTTTAAGGTTTCCAGGAAAGGTTCTACAACAATCTTTAGCGCTGCTTTTATCAATATATATGAAGAAATGGGATGGACACATTGTACCCATGTGGGAAATCAAACCCGAGTCTTCGGACACTTTAACCACTAGGCTACCCCACCGCACCACATCCTTTAGAAGAATGTAGTACGTTGGCAGATGGAGTGAGTGATTTGGGTTTAACGCCGCTTTTAACATTATTCCAGTTATATCACGGCATGTCAGTTTAATGTGGGAGGAAAGCCCGATATGATGCAGGTCTTAGCCGTTTACCACTTCGGTGAAACCCACGATCACGGTTATGAAGCTAACAAACAAAGAAACATAATCGGGGCGAACCGGGATTCGAGTCCACAATCATACGTTTCTGGTGTGCCCAAGGGACGCAACTCTGCATAGCGAATCGCGGCGCCTTAGACGACTGGGCCACCCGTGCCCCCGTGTTAACTGAGCGTCTGATATATAATATATAAAATATGTCCAAGACACTCAGTCAGCACTACATACCAGACACTCAGTCAACACTGTATGCCTGACACTCAATTAACACTACATACCAGACACTCAGTCAACACAAAAAAACAGACACTCAGTCAATACTGTATACCACACACTCAGTCAACACAATATACCAGACACTCAGCCAACACTACATACCAGACACTCAGTCAACGATGTATACCAGACTCTGTCAACGATGTATACCAGACATTCAGCCAACACCACATACCACACACTCAGTCAACGATGTATGCCAGACACTCAGCCAACACTACATTCCAGACACTCAGTCAACACTACATACCAGACACTCAGTCAACGATGTATACCAGGCACTCAACCAACACCACATACCAGACACTCAGTCAACGATGTATACCAGACACTCAGCGAACACTACATACCACAAACTCAGTCAACGATGTATACCAGACACTCAGTCAACGATGTATACCAGACACTCATTCAATGATGTATACCAGACACTCAGTCAACGATGTATACCAGACACTCAGCCAACACTACATACCAGACACTCAGTCATGGATGTATACCAGACACTCAGTCAACGATGTATACAAGACACTCAGCCAACACTACAAACCAGACACTCAGCCAACTCTACATACCAGACACTCAGTCAACGATGTATACCAGACACTCAGCCAACACTACATTCCAGACACTCAGTCAACGATGTATACCAGACACTCAGTCAACACTACATACCAGACACTCAGTCAACGATGTATGCCAGACACTCAGCCAACAATACATACCAGACACTCAGTCAACGATGTATACCAGACACTCAGTCAACGATGTATACCAGACACTCAGCCAACACTACATACCAGACACTCAGTCAGCTATGTATACCAGACACTCCACCAGCACTACATACCAGACGCTCAGTCAACGATGTATACCAGACACTCAGCCAACACTACATTCCAGACACTCAGTCAACGATACATACCAGACACTCAGTCAACGATGTATGCCAGACACTAAGCCAACAATACATTCCAGACACTCAGTCAACGATAAATACCAGACACTCAGTCAACGATGTATACCAGACACTCAGTCAACGATGTATACCAGACACTCAGCCAACACTACATACCAGACACTCAGTCAACGATGTATACCGGACACTCAGTCAACACTACATACCAGACACTCAGTCAACGATGTATACCGGACACTCAGTTAACACTACATACCAGACACTCAGTCAACGATGTATACCGGACACTCAGTTAACACTACATACCAGACACTCAGTCAACACTACATACCAGACACTCAGTCAACGATGTATACCAGACACTCAGTCAACACTACATACCAGACACTCAGTCAACACTACATACCAGACACTCAGTCAACACTACATATACCAGACACTCATTCAACGATGTATACCAAACACTCAGTCAACACTACATACTAGACACTCAGTCAACGATGTATACCAGACACTCAGTCAACACTACATACCAGACACTCAGTCAACGATGTATGCCAGACACTCAGCCAACAATACATACTACACACTCAGTCAACGATAAATACCAGACACTCAGTCAACGATGTATACCAGACACTCAGCCAACACTACATACCAGACACTCAGTCAGCGATGTATACCAGACACTCCACCAGCACTACATACCAGACGCTCAGTCAACGATGTATACCAGACACTCAGCCAACACTACATACCAGACACTCAGTCAACACTACATACCAGACACTCAGTCAACACTACATATACCAGACACTCATTCAACGATGTATACCAAACACTCAGTCAACACTACATACTAGACACTCAGTCAACGATGTATACCAGACACTCAGTCAACGATGTATACCAGACACTCAGTCAACGATGTATACCAGACACTCAGTCAACGATGTATACCAGACACTCAGTCAACGATGTATACCAGACACTCAGTCAACACTACATACCAGACACTCAGTCAACGATGTATGCCAGACGTTCTTTTAGCATGATACAGAAGACGCATTGTCAAATTTGCATACGAGACACAAGGGCGACATGATATACCTGACAATAGCATAGTACAATAAACCAGAAACAGGTAAACATATATAATGTCATTTAATCATACAAATGTGAACTACATAATAGACGTCGCCTTTCCCTAGTACAAGTAAAATTCAGATATTATCAGAAGTACTGTCTAATTGCCTTCATGCCCGACAGACCCATGCCTACTTCGTCACCAAACCATTTCATAGCAATCCACACAAAGACATTCATAAACGTCTATTGCTGGAATGCATAAGCGTAACCGAGTGGGTATGTTGGAACAGCAACACTAATTATACGCCCGTGAAACTAAGAAATAATGCATGTGAAACAGCGCGTTGGTGCTGGCAACCCTTGGATCATAATTACAAGACGTCTGTGTATGTTTTAGAATAAACCCGCGGAGATGGTTAACATAATTTGTTAAAGAATGTTACACCTATCCTCTGCCGTTCGAAAATTATTGTGAATGCGCCATCTTGATTGACACTGACATGATAGAACAATGCAACCACGGATACGTAAGATCATAGGAGGGGGAGGGGGGAGATAAATTGAACAGCCATGTGACGTCATATATTATGACTGTACTCAGAAAGTGTACTTTACTCGCAGATAAAAGAAAGTTCCGTTATGTTATTAATGAGAACGGAATCTTACGCTGATAGAGTAACGTGAGACTATTCCCACACAACCCTCCCGCCCCACCTCCATCCCCACCCCCTATAGTGGGTGTATGGGAGGTGGGGAGGGTATGTCCTAGCCAGGCTTTGTACAGAGCCGTATTGACTGAGTTAGTCAAAATACACCAGCTACGCTCGACCTTGTTACAGACATACAAACCAGATTGAGCATCCATGCTGTGGGTACGCTGATGAAAATCAGCCAGGTGACATCCTCTACCCACCCGATCTCGGTTTTTATAACATTACGGGTTTACGGTACTGGGAATTAATGCTAAGTGTCTGTTGCTTAGGTAAACTGCAAAATTGGTTCACTACTTGATTGTTACTGTGCTATATTGGAAGTGCGACGGTTGTTGTATCTGTGTTGAGAAAAAGGTGGGGTGTTTAAAAAAGCGAAAAAATAACAAGCAATCAGCAAAGTTACTTCAATTCTGCGAAATCTTTGAGATAAAATATAAAGCGTTTGTTACTTTGTTTTTAAACGGAAAACTTGATAATTATTGTTTCCAGTGCGGGGTGATAAATATTCAAGAGGATGAATTGGTGGATTGGTGACGGAAGTTTCAGATTGACTGGAGATGAGAAAAAGGAGAAGTACACACGGCCTTGGAAGAGAAAGCGTCAAAGTATAAACGTTTTTCCACGCGAATTTGAATACAGCGCTTTAATGTTTTCCTAAAAAGAAGATGTTTAGTACAGATGAAAATAAATAGACTAATTGTTTGCCATTATTTGATTGTTAGTAAAATCAGATATAGTTATTTGAAGGAACATAGATATATTACTTACAGCACAAAAACAGGCCCAGCACTGAGACTCCAAGAATTTGATACAACTGCATCTTGAACAAGTTGATTAAAAACCTACTGCTTGGTCTAAAAGTCGAAGATGTTTGAGGTGCGCGTGGGGACTTTCTTAAATACTGTACATTTAACCGGTGTAAGGAGAAAACTATCCTGTGTGATTAAAAGATCCACGTGAAAATCTAAACTGTAATAGAAATGGTATTTTCTTTGGAAAAGTAACACCATGTAGTCCATTTAGACTTGGAATTGGAGTGAATTTATTGCATGAACGTGTTTTATTCTGTATTGCTTCACATTTGCAATAAGGATAAAATAGCGTGGTGTGATTTCATGTGGAGATATTTACATTTCACCGGTTACAGATCGCCTACTCAAGGAGTCAAAAGGCAAGGCCATATATGTCTCATTCAGTGAAAAATCACTCAAGTGTACGTTCGTGTTTATTATGTACCTACGAGTACCTACGGGACCGACCATCTGATATTTTATGGAGGGGATGAGGGTCTGGGGATGTGTTTTGAGACCACATATTTTTTCAGCTACAGCTGCAAAATCAGAGATATTTTTTTATGTTAAACTATGAGCCAAAATATTTTGTTCGAAAAAAAACCCGCAATGTGTGTTTTGTGGCAGACAGTTTCTTTTTTACCAAGGAAATGAAGTATAAATATTGTTTTCAACCTTTTTGTTTTCTCGATAAAATCCCAGCACCCCACCAAACGCCAGAATATTGAATGGTCGGCCCCTAAATATCACACTGTCAGCAATACTGTGTATTAACAATCGTACATATGTATCTCTATCTATTGAATGGAGACAAAATAGAATGGTGTCCCAACATTCACTGTGTCTGTAAATAGTGTCTGCGTGTAAGACAACCATTTCTACCTGTATCATAGCAGAAATAACCATAGATTAAAGGATAAAAAAACATCAATTTCAAGATGGCTCTTTAACTTTTGTCATTGTTCTTGTCATTCCACATCTCGTTGACCTATTTAGTCAACACCCAATTGTGGTGAAACACTGTAGGTATTCATGGGGCGCTGATAAACTATAACCTGGTGAAAATAAACACGGTAACACTTAGTTTTAGATACAGTAAAATGATATGATATCATGGGTTCCAAGGCTTGTTTACCAAATACTCGTTGGTACCAAACACGCGTTAGAAACAATGCACACAAACACATCTAAACATTTGTCTGTTTGTTGTTCAACGCCACACTCAGCAATATTCAAGCGTTATGACGGCTCTCAACAATTGATTCTGACATGTGACATTTATATGCGCGCTATTTCAAATGTGCTGACAAAAAGCTTATTTCCCTGTATTTTTCATTGCTCCCTTATTCGTTTTCATCAGTATTTTTGTCCTTTATTTTAAAATATATTATTAAAATATTGACAGATTTTTTATCATTACATGATAAGTGATATCACAACATATTTATTTTACACATTAAAAGGCATATCGGGAAAATGGTAATATTTGTAGCATGTTCTAGTTGCTATCCTCATATTTTTTTTTTGCGTGTCTATGTTTCATTTGGACGTTCAGCAATGAAACGTGGGGTGCATTTCTTTGATCATCGTCATTTTTATCAAAATATTAAATAGGATACGGTCAAGTTAATCACAAGCATGTGCCTACATTTCAGTTGCCTCGTAGAAATTCCCATTTACAATTGGTCCCAAGCCACCTAAACTAACAGGCCGACTGAATAGATCGGGTGGTTGATTGTTTTTGCTATCTGCAAGATCACACATGTACTAAATATACAGTGAAATCTTGTTCACCTCGAAATATATCGAGTTATCTGCAGTTCGAAATAGGCGGACACATCAGACGGAGGTCACACTGAAACTTTATCATAAGAACCAATGGTTACAATGAAACAGATTTTGATACGGAATAATTCAGACAAAGCGCTTTAATACATGAATGTAACCTTATGGAATTATTCCAGCCGGGGTACACCTAAATGTTGATCTATGTTGAACACGCAATATAGTCATATCCTTTATGGACAAGTTCATGGACCGTTTAGTCTCTTCATCCAACAGGCGTCAATGGTCCATAAGAAGAGTCATATTTAGGGGAGGAAAATGGTTGAATCTGGAAAGAGCAAAACAATCGTGCAATATTCCCCTCAAATACTATTTATACCCCAAAATGCACAAATCATATTGGTAACAAAATGCACAAATCATATTGGTAACAATGCACAAATCATATTGGTAACAACATGCACAAATCATATTGGTAAGAAAATGCACAAATCATATTGGTAACAACATGCACAAATCATATTGGTAAGAAAATGCACAAATCATATTGGTAACAAAATGCACAAATCATATTGGTAACAAAATGCACAAATCACAATGGTAACAAAATGCACAAATCATATTGGTTACAAAATGCACAAATCATAATGGTAACAAAATGCACAATGAAGCTTGGTTAATACGATCCCTTGGGGCCATATCAACTTTTGTGAGTTGTCCGTTATTCGAGTCACGAACATAATGGACCATAGTGATAAATACAATTTCACCGGCGTAATCGATGTATTGCGATAATTTATTTCGCGTTAACATGATTTCACTGTATTATATTTCAATAACAATCCAAATACCAGAGAAACCTAGTTAATTCCAAACTTTAGCGTACTGGTAAGACCATAGAGCTTGAAAGGTCTTGTCCGGGCCATACAGCAACATACCTTTTATTGAATAATGTGTTCCATAAAATGCTAGGAAATTGTGCCTGGGTTTTGCAAAATTAAGTACGGATTGAAAAGTATTGTGTGTCTCCAAACATTGTTCGGTTTTTTTTTCCGAGAAAATATTGTGAAGCGGCAGTGACCCAAACAACCCATGTTAAATGGCAAGCCCCTTACCTGTTTGTAGACTATGTGTTTACGCTCTGAAGAAGCTCAAGAGGAAAACAGCTGCTAACAGGGACATGGTGACCGTGAGACTTGAGACTCCTGAAAATAGAACAGTTGCAATACAGGATTAGTGATATTGGTGGAGTAAACAAATAGTTAGATTTAATATTTGCTGATGCCTTGGAGTATTGAGTCCTGATGAAATGGATTTGAATATAAAATAAATATATTCACAATTCATAATAAGGGAGAGGGAGGGGATGGGTGGCGGGCACTGTATATGTGAATGCCCAAGACATGGCACTGTATGTGTGAATACCCACGACATGGCACTGTATATGTGAATGTCCAAGACATGGCACTGTATATGTGAATGCCCAAGACATGGCACTGTATATGTGAATGCCCAAGACATGGCACTGTATATGTGAATACCCAAGACATGGCACTGTATATGTGAATGCCCAAGACAAGGTACTGTATATGTGAATGCCCAAGACATGGCACTGTATATGTGAATGCCCAAGACATGGCACTGTATATGTGAATGCCCAAGACATGGCACTGTATATGTGAATACCCAAGACATGGCACTGTATATGTGAATGCCCAAGACATGGCACTGTATGTGTGAATACCCAAGACATGGCACTGTATATGTGAATGCCCAAGACATGGCACTGTATATGTGAATGCCCAAGACATGGCACTGTATATGTGAATGCCCAAGACATGGCACTGTATATGTGAATGCCCAAGACATGGCACTGTATATGTGAATGCCCAAGACACGGCACTGTATAGGTGAATGCCCAAGACACGGCACTGTATACATGAATACCCAAGACATGGCACTGTATATGTGAATGCCCAAGACAAGGCACTGTATAGGTGAATGCCCAAGACATGGCACTGTATATGTGAATGCCCAAGACATGGCACTGTATATGTGAATGCCCAAGACATGGCACTGTATATGTGAATGCCCAAGACATGGCACTGTATATGTGAATGCCCAAGACACGGCACTGTATAGGTGAATGCCCAAGACACGGCACTGTATACATGAATACCCAAGACATGGCACTGTATATGTGAATGCCCAAGACATGGCACTGTATATGTGAATGCCCAAAACATGGCGCTGTATAGGTGAATGCCCAAGACATGGCACTGTATAGGTGAATGCCCAAGAAATGGCACTGTATATGTGAATGCCCAAGACATGGCACTGTATATGTGAATGCCCAAGACATGGCACTGTATATGTGAATGCCCAAGACACGGCACTGTATATGTGAATGCCCAAGACACGGTACTGTATACATGAATACCCAAGACATGGCACTGTATATGTGAATGCCCAAGACATGGCACTGTATATGTGAATGCCCAAGACATGGCACTGTATATGTGAATGCCCAAGACATGGCACTGTATAGGTGAATGCCCAAGAAATGGCACTGTATATGTGAATGCCCAAGACATGGCACTGTATATGTGAATGCCCAAGACATGGCACTGTATATGTGAATGCCCAAGACATGGCACTGTATATGTGAATGCCCAAGACATGGCACTGTATATGTGAATGCCCAAGACACGGCACTGTATACATGAATACCCAAGACATGGCACTGTATATGTGAATGCCCAAGACATGGCACTGTATATGTGAATGCCCAAGACATGGCACTGTATATGTGAATGCCCAAGACAAGGCACTGTATAGGTGAATGCCCAAGAAATGGCACTGTATATGTGAATGCCCAAGACATGGCACTGTATATGTGAATGCCCAAGACATGGCACTGTATAGGTGAATGCCCAAGACATGGCACTGTATATGTGAATGCCCAAGACATCAAACTGCATATGAGAATAGAAAGGTACTTTTTGTGAAAGCAGAATACGTAATACGGTATATCTGAGTGAGTGAGTGGCTTAGAGCTTAGAGCGTTACCAAATACATCTGTTGTAAATACACAAACGGCACTTCCTCAGGGCCATCCCGATCTCTGGTTTACAGTCTTCAGTAACATCATCTTCAGCGTCCAAGCACAACTTCAAAACCTTGAACTTTCTGAAAATGTATTTTGTAACTGAAAAGGTTTTTTTCACGTATTTTCATTTGTCAGTTATAGAGATCCCTTTCCCTTAAGAACAGTCAGTCAATATTTCAGCCGTTTGTAGAATACCACAATATGTGGCTCTGAAGAGTTGTGTATCTTAGCTACAAGG